GTTTCGACAAGATCCATATAACAAGATTTATGCTTGAAGTGCATTCGAAGCAATTGAAAGATCATTTGCTCCACTAGAATTCCATCGTTAACGGCCGTTAGTCCAATATCATTGTGAAGGTACCAGCAGGGTTGTCCTCGACGTGTTTGCGAATGATCCACAACGTCATCTTCTATCAAGAAAAATGCTTGCAGCTATAAATAAAAAATTCAGGATTAATTGAGTGATGAATTAATTTATGGAACATAATTACTTTTCTATTTGACACGTATACAGTTTTGATTTCGAAAGAGGTATTTTTAATTTCTCTCACCATTTCATTGCACCATCCTAAAATGCGCGCTAATCGAATATTTTCGTCAGTTAATTGATCCGGAAGAGCTAATTGTTTATACGCATAGACTAGAACTAAAGCACGATTCTTCTTGCCACCAGGAACATTGTACTGCAAAACCTAGAGAAAAAATTATTTTATTCGATTACAAATTACTTTTAATTGAAGCAAAATAAAGTCTAATGAATACAATATAAATATGATGGAAATTCGATAATTGTTTTTTAAAACTACTAGCTAATTACAAGCTTTGTCCTTATTAATTCACTAAAAGAAATAGCAAACATTATCTTTAAGACTCAAAAGAAGTAGAAAAAAGTAGTTATAAAAATATTCCCTGATTTCCAGAAAAAATTTAATAACTTTCTTCCTTATCTTAGTAATAACTTCAATTCTAAATTTTCGTTAAATATCAATTATTTTCCAAATTTACAGTTAAAATTCTTCAAAACTACGATTATATTTAAAAATAATAATTTTTAAAATTACAAAAATAATAATTTTTAAAATTACAAAAATAAAATTTTTTCAAATATAACATTTATTTCAATGATAATGATATGATAAAATTTACAATAGTTTCTTTTTTAAAATTTATTCAATACTTGAATAATTTTTTAAAAATAAATACTTAATATTATTTATTTATTCTTGTGGTAAAATAAAAAATAATTTTTATTTTTCCACAAGAATTGAAATTTTAAATAATTTCAATGTAAAACTTTCGGAAATTTAATTATTTCTAAAAAATTACAACGGTAATTCTTCTAAAATTCCTTTATTTTTTAGAATGTTATAAAAATTATGATAAAAAGTTCGATTTAATTAGTTTTTTAAAAATATTTTAATGCAATTTTTCAAACATAATTACCTTAAAAAAAATTTTGAACAATTTGAAAAACTAGTCAATTTTTTGAAGAATTTTAATCAAAAATTGTGAAAATTAATTGCTTTCTTCAAAAAGTTAAATAATAATTCTAAAAAAATTAGATTTCTTGAAATATTTTAAACGTAATTATTTTTTCTGTCAATAAAATTCGAATATTCGAAAGTTTTTCAATTGAATAATATATGTATTCGAAAATTCTACTAATTTCAAAAGAATTTGTACTAAAATTGTCCAACAAAAAACTAAGTTCTTTACAATTTTTTTAATAAAATTTTAGTCAAAATTCAAATTTTCAAAAAATTTTAAAACAAAACCTTTTGTAATTTGAGAATTTGAGTATATATTTGACTATTATATTATTTGGGTTAAATTTCTCTACTTTTCTTAATTTCCCGTTTTTTCAGAATCCCGTTATTATCAAAAGTGATAAAAATGTAAAAGAAATGTCTAACTCAAAAATAATTTCTCAGGAATCACGTCAGTTTATTTTTTTACTTTAACAGAATAAAAAGAGGTATTATTTCTCAAAACAGACGCTAAAAAATTTTAAATAAAACAAATTAACTTGTAAATTAATTTAATGGATTGTAATTTTAATCAATTGTTATTTATAAATTTGTTATCAACACTTAAAATTTTAATAATTTGTAATTTGAATCGATTAAGATTAGATTAGAATATTTTGGATTAATAAATTTATATTTAGTAACAAAATTTTTGGATATTAATAAGACAAGGTGAAAAGGTTTTGGATTTCATGAGTTTTGGATTATTTTGAAGAAAATAAATATGAATTTTTTTTTATTTCCTATTAGCGGGTTTAAAGTAGTGCAAATTAAAGAAAAGAAATTAGTTTTTAGTGGCATAAACTTTAAATAAAACAATTATAAAAAACTATTTAAGTAGAAAAATTGTAAAATTCATTTTTAATTTTTTTAGATTTGAGTCATAAAATGGAAAAAAGAATCTTCTATTAAAAGTTCTTTTAACTTTCACATTTTTTACATGACTTTCTTTTTGGAGATTTTCTTGTTTTTTCGAATATAATTTTCGTCTGTATCAGTGGAATTTCGTAATGAATTTTTCCTTGTTTACCTTTGACAACCATCTGGTCACATCGGGCATATCTGAATGACGACCGTCCGTGAGATCTCTGACTACATCTGGCCATAAAGCCATCATTTCTCGACTTTCATCTTTACTTGTAACCCAATTTGCTTGAGGCGCCGTATGAACCATATTGTGAATATTACTAGGCCTGTAAAATATTTGCAGAATTATTTTTAGTGACATTTTATTTTTATTATTGGTGAAAGATTAGATAATGCAGACGGTACAATATAATGCAAGTGAAATCTTGTTTATTACTTGAATTAAAAAAAAAACGAGAATATTCTCACGTTTCCTGATAAATTAATTAAATTAATTTATTAAATTCATCCATTAAATTAATATTTAAAAAAATTTAAATTAATCTATTAAATTAATTTTAAAAAATTATTATTATTTATTTACGATGACTATTATTTTAAAAATAGTCTTTTTACTATTTGTTGTTTTTGTTATTCAGTTTTTTTTAATTAAGATTTTTTCAAACATAAACATAATAATAAAACTTGTTATACAATAGAAACTTTTGAATGAGAATAACAAACTGTCAATAAAAAAAAGAAATATGAATGTAGTGCAATAAATTTCAATACATAAAAATAATGATTATATTTCCTTTTTTGAAATTTAAATATTTGCTTTTTATTTGTTTACATTTGTTGCTTTTTGAGGAAATTAAAAATGATTTACGTAGATAAAATTGAAACGTATTTTTTAAAATAGAATAACAGGAAGTGAAACGTTATAGATAAGTATTTGCAAATATTTTGTTGCAATTTACAAACTGAAAATAGCCGTGAGTTTTAATTTAACAGTTTCACAGGTTATATTTATTTTTTTCATTAAATTCAAAATTCCGGATGTTTTTGATATTATGCAGCCTATGAAAAATACCAAAATGAATGAAAACTTTCACAAAAATTCTGGAAAGGTAAAATATTATCAACTCTTTCACAATAATATTTTTAGGGAAAAGTGTGACACTAATTACATGTATATGCTAATTGAGGCTCCGGATCTTAAAAGGGCCACTTTTATCATTTAAAATCAATGCTGAAAGTGCCCTTTTAAGATCCGGAGCCTCAATTATAGAAAATATTCTGATCTTGTAGAAAGTAATTAAAATCTTTTCCAATTTTTTTCTATTTATTTTTAGTAATTTTTTGTTTGTACAAAATTAAAAAAAAACTTTTTTCTTAAAGAATTCAGAGGAATCAGAGGATGAAATTAGTGCAACTAAAGAAGTTTTGATATTAAAAGCATTTCATAGAGGAACACAAACTGAAATACATTGTGAACCTTTACTCACAAAACAGCAATTTATCGATATGATTGTAAAGTCACGTTTTTGAATTATTTACTTTGTAAACATAAATATTGTTTTTCTATTTCATAGTATATTTAAAAAAAAATTGTAAAAAAACGTTTCAAAATTGAAGACAATGAATATTCGGCAAAAAAATACGAATCAATGACAAGAGTGAAAATAATTCATAATCAAAATAAAATTAATTAATATAAAAATAATTTATAAAACTAAAATTCTAAAAAAGACGAATCAATAAAAGAATCAATTAATCGAGGAATTAATACGAAAATAAAAATAAGTTATTTAAAACTAAATTATAAAATTGAGTTATCCATAAAATCAAGTTGTTTATAACTCTGTAATATATTCTTTAAACAAAGTAATTAACAGCAAAAGAATTAAACTCGTCATGCTTATTTATAAAAATTAAAATAGAATATTAAAAAAACATATTGCACGCATAAAAACGGAAATAAATAATATGAATATTTGCACATAATATAAAATATACTTACACCGCTAAAGGAGATAAAAAACATCTTTTATCACTTGATTGACTTCGAACTGAATTTGAGGTTATCTTTGAGATTCCGTTTTTCATAAATTTTTGAGGATATCCATTCCTCAAAAGAGAAGTACATTTTTGTATACATGATGACATATTTATTGTACTGTTATTTTTTTTTCTACACGTCGTATCCTGTGTGTGTATAATATACTTAATTAACCTAAATTTCTTATTAAAAAGTAATATTTAGGTGCGTGAAAGTTTAATGACTCGAGAAAAATCAACTCTTTCATTAACATAAATTATAAAATTGCAAAAAAAAACAATAAGTCACTTTAAATTCAAAAGAAACGTCAGGTGCGTTTGACAACAATGATTGAAATGATATTATAGGAATTTCTTTTATGATAATTTTATAAAAGTGTGGCCGTGACAATGCTGATAACACAAAAAACTTCCCTAGGTGTTGTTGAAAAAAAACAAACCTTATTATGATATAAATCTTCTGTCCTTGACAATAAAAAAAAATTTGTTTAATCTTTTAGTATCTTCAGTTTCAAGTTGTCAATATTATTAGATTAGATTTCTAAACAATGTTTATCAAAATGGTAATCGTTATTATTTATTAATATACTAGAATGAATAGAATTATAAAGGAGAATATAAGTAATGACTTTGAGGAAATCCGTTTGAATTTCCACAGAATAAAATCATCGAAATTCCTAGAAATCTGTTTTATTTTGTACTGTATAGGGAATTTAAGATCACAATGAGTTTTGACGTTTGAAATGACATGCTTGTAAGTAAGAATAAAAGCTACTTTTCAGGCGTTTGAGAGTTCAGCTTCGGACTTCGGAGATTTTGGAGCAGTAGTGTCGGTGTCGGTATTGACATTAGGACTGAAATTTAATTAATAAACATTATAAATACTCTAGTTTTTACATGTTCGTCCGTTAATTACAAACATAAAGTACCTGTAGCCTTGTAGCCATGGAAGAAGAAATGTTACAGATCCTTCAGGATTTCGGGTAAGTTTTGAGGTTATGTTACAAAACATTGTCAAAATGATCAAATTTACAATAAATTAACAGTAAGATATAAAAATAGGAACAAGTTTTCAACTACTAATTCTATTATTTTCGATCAGAATATGAATTTCTTGTTTCAATTATATATACAATTTTGATTAATTAATTGGTGTTTTAATTACTAAGGTATACGGGACCGCTATTGAATTATGCAAAATTTTGCGAAGCTGTTGAAATTGGACCAAAATCTGTACAATTTACTGGTCTTGTTGCATGGATAGTGGAGAAAATTGTATTAATCAGTAAACTTGATGAAAGTGTTCATCCCACAACATCACCAGACGATGCTAGTTCATTTCTCCTAGAATTAAGCGCATTTCTCAAAGAAGTTGGATGTATCAATCAGCAATTAATGACGGGAAATGTTAATCAACGATTAGCCAACAAAGAGCAAAGACTGTTTCTTCTAGATTATTTGCTTTCGGAACTTATGACGGCAACTTTGTTAGAATCCAAGAAGCCGGTTGAGGAGCACATGGAAGTTACTATAGTGAGTTTCAAATTGTTTAATATTTATTATTATTAATTTCATTATTTATACTACTAGCAAATGATAATTTTAATATAAATTCAATTATTTTCAACAATTTTTATAAAATTCTTTTTAAAAAATCATTATTTTCAAAATTTTTAATAAAATTCCTTCAAAAAATTCAACTACCTATATTTTCAAAAATTCAGATAAAATCCTTCGAAACAATTCAATTATTTTTATGAATTGTAAAATTCTCCGCAAGAATTCAATTATTTTCATAAATAATAAAATTCTACAAAGGTATTCAATTATTTTCCTAAATAATAAAATGTTTCGGAGGAATTCAATTCAATTTTTTTTCAAAATGAGTTTTAATAAAAATTCAATTATTTTCAACAATTCTGTTATAAAATTCTTCGAAACAATTCAATTATTTTTATAAATTGTAAAATTCTTGTCAAGAATTTAATTATTTTTTGTAAGTAATAAAATTCTTCTGAGAAATTCAATTATTTTCAATACAATTTTAATAAAATTTCTAGGAAAAAATTCAATTATATTCAAGATAACTTTCATAAAATTTCTCGAACAGTTTCAATTATTTTTAAAAATTGTAATAAAATTTTTCTAAACAATTTAATTGTTCACAAAAATTTTTTAAAAAATTCTTCGTAAATTTCAATTATTTTCAAATTTGTTTATAAATAAATAAATTCCAAGAATTCAATGATTTTCAGTACATCGACAATTTAATTATTTCTGAATGTAATTGACTTCTTTCATAGAATTTTATTAAAACTTTTTTAAATAATTGAATCCCTGCGAAAAAATTTATTATTTCTGCGAATAATTGAATTTTTTCAAATTTTAACAAAAGTAATTGAATTTTTGAGAAGAATTTAATTAAAATTGTATTTAAAATAATTGAATTCATGTGAAAAATTTACTATTTATTGATATTATTGACTTCCTTCGAAGAAGTTTAAAAAAATGTTTAAAAATAATTTAATTTTCCCTAGAATTCAATTAAAATTGTATTTAAAATAATTGAATTCTAGCGAAAATTTCATTATTTTTAAAAATAATTGAATTCTTTACTGAGAGGACGAAAGTTTCAAATTTTATTTCCTTTTCAGAGTGAAACTTCAACTGCGAAGAATCTAAAAAATATTCTGGTGATGTTGAGGTTTCAAAAGCCGCCGGACAATATAGCGGCGGATGTTCTTTTTAATAAAGTTGCGACAAAATTACAGGAAGTGAAAGCACAAGTACCGCCTAAGCTTCTAAGTAAACCGATATTTGTCGGGAAACTTTCTGGTAATCAGTGGAAAAAATTGAGAGAACTACAGAGCGAATTACAATCGGAATATACGATAAGACGTGAACTTTTGCTGAAACGATTGGATGTCACTGTTCAGTCCTTTTTGGTAAGAATTAAATTTGAAAGGTTTATTTCTTTATTATAAATAAATTAATATTTTCGTCTTGAATTTAATTTTAATTGATTAGAACGAATTTGAATGAATTTAGACGAATTTAAATGATTTTGAACAAATTTAGACGAATTTGAATGTATTAGAACGAATTTAAATGAATTTGAACGAATTTGAAAATGGAATTTACTTACAGTGGTCGGATAGATTGAAGAGTAAGGAGACAGAGGTGATGACTTGTTTCAAGAGTAAAAAAGATACAATGTCACGAGAACCGGGAGTTTCAATTGCCCACTTACTGGCGGCTCGTGAGGATATTGCGATATTGGAGAAAACGAGTAATGCCTCGGTGCGTAAAAATACTCGAAGTCAAGTGAATAAAGTAATAATAGGCGCTGTTCCTGATCGTGGAGGAAGGCCGTACGAACAGGAACCACCGCCACCGGAAATGCCACCTTGGCAGAAGGATCGTGCTGGAGGACAAAGCTTTGGGTAAGTTTCTTTCAAATAAATAATTATTTAGCAAATTTTAAACTAAAAATAATACATTTAACCAATTCTTATTAAAGTAAATATTAATATTTAACGAATTATTAAAGCAAATATTAAAATTTAACGAATTATTAAAGTAAATATTAAAATTTAACCAGTTATTAAAGTAAATAATAAAATTTAACTAGTTATTAATATAAATAATAAAATTTAACCAATTATTAAAGTAAATAATAAGATATAACAAAATACACGACTCATTATAACTTTTTCGACTTTTTCATGACCTATATTCAAAAACTGAGACTTTTTTGTATTTTCTTTAAAATATTGCATCAAAATACAATTTTTTTTTGGCATAGAATGCAACTTATTTTGATTTTTATAGCGTGAAAAATAAATATACCTGTCAAATCTTTCAAAAATTATTTTTGAATTTAATTTTCTGTTAAAAAAATAATTAAAGATTTGTTCAATAATTTAAATTTTTGTACAAGATTATTGATAATAATTGATTTTTTTAAAAGTATTTCATAAGCATTTTTGAAAATAGAATTTTTAAAAGAATTTCAAATGTAAATTTCAAAAATAACTGAATTCTCAAAAATTTTAATGAAAAATCTTCAATTGAAAAATTCAAAAATTGAAAATTAGCTTCAAGAATTTAGATTATAATTTAAAAATATAATTTTTAATAATTATTATTAAAATTTTATTATTTATTTGTTTTTTTAAATTGTCCAAAACTTCTTGTAGAAATTTTAATTATTATCGAAAAATTACATTAAAATATCTTCAAAAATCTAATTCTTCAACTTATTCATTATAATTTTTTAAAATTCAATTTCTGAAAAAAAGTACATCGAAAACAATTTTTTAAAATTCAATTTCTTAAAAAAAAGTAAATCGAAAATAATTTTTTAAAATTCAATTTCTTAACAGAAAGTAAATCGAAATTTTTAAAAAATTTACTTTTTTTTGAATTATTAATTCTTAAAATTTTGGAGAAAGCAGTCAATTTCAAAATTTTTAATTAAAGTTCTTTAAAAATTTATATTAGTTTTTTTTAAATTGTCCAAAAATTCTTTTAAGAATTTTAATTATATTCGAAACATTACATTAATAATTAAAATATTTTTAAAAAACTAATTCTTCAACTTATTCATTATAATTTTTTAAAATTCAATTTCCTAAAGAAAAGTAAATCGAAATTTTTTTAAAAATCTACTTTTTATGAATTATTATTAAAATTTTTGAGAAAATAGTCCATTTTCAAAATTTTTAAAAATTTATTGGTTTTTTTAAAATCTCCAAAAATTCTTTTAAGAAATTCAAAACTTCTTATACTTAATTATTCAAAACTCCAGTAATTTTTTTCAATAAATATTGAAATAATTGTTATTTATTTTTTACAGAAATCAAGAATTTTTAAACTTTAATTTTAGATATTTTGATATTTGAAAAAAGTTAAAACTTAAAAAATAAACAAGTATTTCTATATTTATTTAAACAATTATTGGAGTTTTGAATAATAATGTTCAAGGATCAACAAATATTAAAAACTTAAATTGTAAAATTAAAAAGTTAAACATGTAGAAAACTTTGTACATAATTAACTTTTTTTTTAATGACGCAAATTATAATTTAAAAATTTAATTTGAAGAAAATATAAACAAATTTCGTTCTGTTGAAAGTTCAGAACTTTAGTATCACGAATAATTGAATTAAGAAATTAGTAAAAGATCAGGGAAATACAAAATGAAATTTTTCTGACTACTCTTTTTCCACATTTTTTTTTTTTTTTTTTTATTTTTCTATCTAAAGCGTTTTTTTTTTTTTGTGTCTTAATTGGGTGTCAAAGTCGATTCGAGGCTTGTAAATATCAAAGTGAAAAAAAATTACTAAATCAATTTACAAAAATATAAATAATTCTTCAGGGGTGGCAGAGGTGGCCAAGGAGCCAGAGGTGGCGGAAACTTCAGCGGCGGAGGTGGTTTCGGAGGCCGAGGTAGAGGAGGCGGACAAGGAGCCAGAGGTGGTGCCGACGGCGGCCGTGGAGGATTCAGCGGCGGAGGTGGTGGTTATGGCGGTAGAGGTGGTTATCACGATCACAAGGATGCGTCGAATAATTTCGGTCAAAATCGATCAGGACCCGAGAGAAGTTATCGAGCCGAGGATTATTTCAGTAATCAAAAGCCAAGAGCAGAAGATTATTTTCAATCGTCTTCTCAAAATTCGTCAGGCTATGGAAAACGTGGTGGATATTCCGATCATAGAGACGATGGCCAACGTGGAGGATATTCCGATCACAAAAACGATGGAAAGCGTGGAGGTTATTCCGATCACAGAGACGAGGGTAAACGAGGAAGAGTTCAAGGCGGCTGGAATCAAGGCGATTCAAATTATCAACGTGGTGGTTATCATCGTGGAAGAGGTCGTAATTATTAATTTATTTCTCCCCACGCACAGGAGAGTTTTTTTTCGAATTTTGTTTTCTAGATTTTAAAAATAAATCGAAGCTTTTTTTTATAAAAATATCTAATCGTATAAATATTCTGTTGTGAACAGAAATAAATATTCTTTTTCACTAGCGAAAAAAAATATTGAATTTAGAACATTATTTCTAAATTTTGAATTGTTATACTCAAAACATTACGTAAGAATAGAAAAGAAATAAGAATAGAAATACATTAAGAATTGAAAAGAATTGAAAAGAAAATTGAAAAGAATTTGGAAATTCAAGGATACACTTTACTAAGCATAAAATTTACTCTTTAATTTTTATTTTTTAGAAAAATTAATAGAATAAAGAAAATTTTTACAATTTATAAAAAATGTTTCGTAGACTCGGGACAATATTTACAAGTTTGCTTTATAATTTAAAAAAATATATCTTTATGAAAAGTAAGAGGCTATTGATTTACTTCTAGTGCTATTTTTCTGATTCTTTGTACCTCGTTTTTTAGAATTATTTTCCCCACTGGAATCGAATGTTTGCTTTCGTTTCATACAATTCTCTTGTGTTATTATTGTCGTATTTTCGATTTTGTTCATTTTTCTCTGTAACTCGTGTGCAATGTGATAATCATTATGTTCGATTTGTTTTTCAACGGGCACTAATTGATGGCATTTGTCGCATTTCTTCACCGAATCGTCAATTTCACAATTTGTGTTTGCTTTAATTAAAAAGTTTTGTATTGTATTTTCACCTTTACTTGTTCCTGCTTCTTGTAATTTTTGTTTATTCATAATTTTTTTCATTTTTATATGTTTCGCTACAATTTCAGCTTTCTTATTTATTTTTGTGGCATTCTTTAAGAGTTCAGAAGCTTCCTGTTGTAATTCTTGTGGTAAAAGTGATATTACACCGGGATCAATGTCTGATAAATCGGGAAATATTTCTTGTAGTTTGACATTAACTTTGCTGTTGTTATTCACGAAGGGTTCCACATTGTCCATTTTTGCTGCAGACCAGTTGCTGTTCGATACTTGTGAATAGAGGGATGATGAATATTTTCCTTCGGCTTCGATTTTTTCTTCTGCTTTTGAAGAAATTTCCAATGTGGCGGAAGATTGACGAATGGGAATTTCTTCCGTATTTTCTGAATCGAGGAGTTGATTTTCATTTGTGTCGTACACATTTAAATTAACGTTAGTTTGTTCATTTTGTTCCTCTTCGTTTGTCTGAGGAACAGAATCGTTTGTTTCGTCTTCAGTGCTCTCGTGATTCTTTTTTAGAATATTCATGAAAAATGATTGTTTAAATGGTTGGGAATTTAAGGCCCTATCGAAACTGTCACGTGAATTTGTTCTACGATTATTGCTGAAGAAATCTTCACAATTTTTGTTGATTTTTCCCTCATTTTCTTCTTGTTTAAAATCTGTTTCATTTTCATCTGTTTTAGATTCTTTTTCAACTGTTTTCGAAGCATTTGCATCTGTTTTAAAATAATTTTTCTCTATTTTTCTATTATTTTCTTTCGCTTCAGAATTGCTGTTATTTTCTTTTGTATTTGAATTACTATTATTTTCTTTCGTATTAGAATTACTATTATTTTCTTTCGTATCAGAATCACTATTATTTTCTTTTATATTAGAATTGCTATTTTCTTTTGTACTAGAAGCGGAATTGACTTCATTGTTTTCGAGTTCAAAACTAGTGTTAAGTGGATTTTTCGACTCGAGCTTTTCCGAAGAATTTGTTTTAGTTTCTTCTTTATTTGGATTTGTTTTGAAAAAACTTCGAAAGTAATCGCTACCTTTTGCAGCTATAAATTTTCCCGCCGAAAGTCCAATAAAGGCAACAGGATGTTGTACCGATTTGGTTATGATATTAAAACATGAATCGGCGACTTTTTCGGGCTTATACGAATTCAAAGGACAGGAACGTGACTGAGAAATTTCAACTTTGTCTTGATAGTAATGGAAACTGACAGTCAAGAGTGTCGCCCGCCTCTCGTTCTCCTCAAGATCCTGATCCAGACGCTCGCAAACTTCGGCTGTCAGATCTTTGAGCCAGCTTTTCAACTGTTTCGAAAAAAGAAAATTGAGCTTTAATACCTAAATATTTATTAATAGGTATTTTTAGTTGTCTAAATTGAATTAAAATTATTATAAACTCACTGTTTCAGCATTAGCGATAGCTTGCTTTCCAGGGAACTTTTTACAAACGCCAATTGACTTGGAAACTAATCTTGTTGTCACTGGTTCGTTATCAATACCGCGAGCAATGTTATACAACCAAAATCTGAAATAAAAATACTTGGTTATAAATAATTTAACAAATTATTAGAATTATATTTGAATTTTTAATATAGTTTTAATTTTAATAGTAATACCCGGTTTTCTCGTCGAATACTTTTTGAAGGTCCATTAGGGAATATCGCAAAAGATCTGACATGACATTACATTTGAGTGAATCGATAACAACGTCTCCGAGTTTTCCGCCTAGATTTCTCACTTTTTTCACTGGTAAAGTTTTGAATAACGAGGGAACGCCATTTGATGGCAATATTGTTTGTCTATTTGGTTTGTGTAAACCACACGCGAGTTTTGCCAATATCTGAAAAATATATGTAAACAGATTAATTTACAATGAAATAAATAAACTCGGGGTTTTTAGGGTCGAGTTAAAAAAGTAATTAAATGGTTAGAGAAGACCGTACGTACTTTATTGTAAGAAATTCCTGCAGAGCATCTAAATTTTGTCGTTTCGTATACGTCATCTCTGATTTCTTCAACAATAACTCCAGCAATGGCTAATTTTTGTGCTTGTATATCATCAAGTTCGTCGAATGATGTATTTAACCAATTTTGAAGACCTTTACTTCTTTGCTCTGCAAAAAATGATCGAAAATTAAAACAATTTTAGAATATTAATAAAATTTTGTTCTACTCTCTTATCAATATGCATACCTTCATCATTGTCATCAGATTCGGAGAAACCAACGACAAAAGTATTTGACAATTGTTTCATTAATTCACTTGAAGAAGGAGAATTTGCGGCTAATCGATTTTCAACTATTTGAGTGATATCTAAATAAGCTTCATCAACACTTGCCCTTTCGATTTTATTGCAATGCTTTTTTAGAACATCGATTACTTCTCTTCCAGCGCTTCTATATCTGAAATTTTCATTAAAATATCCTTGTAATGTAATTCTTGTATTTTTTGAAAAATCTCAGCAGTTATAAAAGAATTAGCAAATTTTAGGCGCGCGGAACATGATATTCAACTTATTATTATTATTATGCAAATTACAAAATTGTTCTATTTTCAAATAATAAACTTCAATTTTTGAAGTAAGTACATAATTAATTATTCTTGTTAATTATTTTCGAGAATTTTATGCAAGAATTCAATTATTTTTATAAATATTAAAATTCTTTGCAGTATTTAATTACTTACAATACAATTTTAATAAAATTTTACTAAAGGATTCAATTACATATTTTTTTTAATTTTGAATACAATTTTACGCAAGAATTCAATTATTTTTATAAATAGTAAAATTCTTTGCAAAAATTCAATTACTTTCAATACAATTTTAATAAAATTTCATGAAAGGATTCAATTCTTTTTTTTCAATTTTAAATGCATTTTTTCGAAACAATTAAATTATTTTTATAAATAGTAAAATTCTTCGTAATAATTAAATTAGTTTTATAAACAATAAAATTCTTCGAAGAATTCAATTATTTTCTAATTGTTTGTTAAAATTCTTAGCAATAAGAATTCAGTAATTTTTAATACATTAAATTTTAAATTGAATACATTTAATAAGAAAAATTATTAAAAATGTTAGGAAACAAAAAAGCAAACAACTTCAAATTTTTAACAGATTACAAGAATACAATGATTAATAATATAGAAAATTTTTTGTTTATTTAGTGATTAAATAGTTCAAAATCACCTAGATGTGTCTGATTTTCCACGAAGAGCTGGAACACTGGCTAAAATTACATCTGGACATTTTTCTTTAGCCTCTTCACCACGCATATGTCGAGTCACACCAAAACCTCTAGCTTCATAATTTACGGCAATTATACTGCAAAATTAATTATTTTGATAATTAAAATTATCGTCTTATAATATATTTATGAACAAACAATATTTACATCAACTTTAAAATACAAAACAATAAATAAAAGTCGCGTGGAAACAGTTCGAAAAAATGAAATCAAAAATCGAGAAAATTTAATCTCCAAATATTTTAGAAAATTAAATTTAGTAGAACTTAAACGAAATAAATTAATCTTGAAATTCAATTAATTAATTAATAATTAATATTGTTTACCCTCCCATTTTCCATTGATTGTATTGAACAACAGCAAGTGGTTTTCCTTGGTATTCTGGTTGAAGTCTAGCTTCAACTTGACAGAAAAAACAATCCATATCAATTAGCACTACAATTCTCTCACCAAAACCTGCCATTGTAATTAATTTTTCTCTTGAAAATACTGAATATTATAAATTTTTATTGATAAAATGGATAAAATTTTTCTTTTTTATAGGTTATGTCGCCTTATTGTTTACATCGTTTACATCACATTCTTTCATTGTTTTTGTTATATAAACCGAAATATAACAAACCATGTGTGTTACATAACTTTAATACTAAACACTGAAAGTGGTGAAAATTTTTTTATTGCTACCAAATGTATAAAAAAAACACAAAAATCATAGAGGTAAACACATTTTGTTTAATGTTTTCGTTTCACTGATCGTTAAGGGTAGTACACACTTCATAACAATTGCAGCTGGGTTGCTGGGTATTTTAAATTTGTGCGGGAAAATGCAACAATTCCATTTTGCATAAATTTGAAAATAAGCCTTAAAACTATTTGCATAATTTAAATTATTTAAATATACTTAAATAAAAAGTAAATTTTAATTTTAAAATAAAAAATTACTTTTTTTGAAAATAAAATATTAGAAGCAAAAAGAGAACTGAATCGCAATAGCAAAAAGCCACGAACAAAAAAAGAAGAAAAGAAAAATAGAACTGAAAATAAATTATCGAAACTAAAATAAAAAATTAATACTTAATAGTAATTACGTTTTTAATATTAAAAATAACAAAGTTATTGAATGAAAATTGTTTTATTATTTTTTTTCCTGTGTAGAATTGATACATTTTTCCACACAATCGAGTATCAAATAGCAATATTATAAATCAATCGAAAAATTAACTTATTACTATCAAAAATTATCAGCCACTCCTTTTGTCCTTGTCTTTCTCCTTCTCTTTCTCCTTTTCCTTATCTTTATTTTGTTGCAATGATCCCACGGCTTCGCGTACAGCTTCCGAATGTGGATCCACACCGGGAAGACTCTCCAGAACAGATTGTAAAAATGCAGGATCTGACATTACAGCCGCATAGTCCTCTTCCACGTCCATTGCTTCTTCTTTCGGTGGATCTGCCTCAGCTGTAAATTGCACAAAACAATTAGAATATTTTTATTCGAATAATAAAATGTCAATTACAATCAATAAATTGTGATTACAGGCTTTACACTCAATAATTAATTTTAAAAAAGTATCAAAAAGTATCCATAAAAGTCGCATTATTCGAAAATAGTTGGAAAAAGTCATAATATCCAAGGCCTGAAAGATATTTTTATTTAATTTTTCTTTTTTGTTTAACCGTCTTTTAATTATTTTTGTAATAAAGGATCGAAATATGCTTCTAGAGCTTTTATTACAATTTAATTTAATCGTAAAATTAAATATGACGCGAACTTACGTTGATCTTGCATGGACATTTTCATAGCAAAGGCGATTTGTTCCTCTTCAGTCATACGAGCAAAATCGGGCATTGCCCCAGTGCTGGCAGTTGTATTTTCGGGTACTGGTGTCGATTCTTCAGGTCCTTCCATGGACATTTCAAGTGCACGCTTCAACATTGCTTCTTCATTCGGCGATTCTTTAATTGTTTCAGGTTTCTTATCTGCAGTCGCGTCCTTAACTTGAGCTCGTCTCGCCTCATCCTCTTGTCTTTGTCGTTGTTCCTCCATGGAAACACGAAGAGCCTAAAAGTAATTTGTTTAGTTTATAGACTTCAATAATAATAATAATAAAATATAAATAAAACTTTGAGATTAACAAAAGCTCCGAGTCTTCGACTCGGGAGTGTTTGTTTTTAAGTTTTTCAAATGTTTATTTATAATTAAGACTACCGAGTGATAAAATCAAAAAATAATAATAAACATAATAATTAAATAATTCTTTTTATACCAATGCAAGTTCAGGATCTTCATTCGGATCGACACCGAATTCAAATGCAGCTCCTCCCATTCCAGCACCACCCATTCCATCCTCGCCTTGAATAATCGGAGACGAAATCAAAGCATCGGATAGATGTGGACCTGGTGGAACTGTAACGAGATGACTTCCAGTTCCGTCCTTTCCATTGAGGGCATTAATGAATGCCGTCAAAACGTCATTATTCACGGTCTCTTCGCCAAAACTTATAATATCCACATTGACCTTCTCCTTCTTTAAACGTTTCGCTAATTTCACTAATTCTTTGTCATCAATCAGCACTGGACTTCCGACAAATGCAACAATACGCATCTTGTGATTCTTTCCCTGACGATGCTTCAATGCCAACTAAAAAGAAAAGTTTTCGAGTCTTGTCTTAAAAAAAACTTTACAAATTCCTTTCCTCTTTTTGACGAGGTTTTTAAAATTCAAAGAGAATTTTTAATAAATCAAGGTTGCCACAATTAATTTTGTTTTCCCCTTACGTTTTCCCCAATTTTCAGACTATATTTTGACCTTTTCCCTGATTCCAAAAGAATATTCTGCGATTCACTCTAGAAATTATTAGATACTATAAAAAAAATTATTTCGAAAACATCAATAAACAATAATTCCATTTTTAAGTATGAAAATAAATAATTTATTGAATAATTGAATGTTTCTTAAAATTGAATTCTCATTAAGAATTTCATCGACCAATTTTTAAATAATTGAATTCTTTCGACGAATTTTAATAAAAATTTTTGAAAATAATTGCATTTTTCGAAAAATTCAGAAAATTTTATTAAAATAGTAAATATTGAAAATCATTGAATTGAGGAAATTTTTTGAAAATAATTGAAATTTTGCAAAGAATTTTCAAAAAATTTTTTTAAATAATTGAATTTTGGAGAATTTTATTATTTATAAAGATAATTAAAATTTTGACTAGAATTTTTTTTAAATTTATGAACATAATTGAATTTCTGTGAAAAATTTTATTATTTTCGAAAATAATTGAATTTCTGAAATCATTTGTAACTTTTCCATAATTCAATGTTTTTAGTGATTTGAACTAAAATTCTTCTATAACTCCATTATTTTTATTAATTAATTGAATATATATTAAAAAATTTAACTAATTTCAGAAAAATTTGAATTATTAACTTTTTTGAAAAATCTAAGTTCTTCAAAATTTCTAATTAAATTCCTTCAAAATTGAATTCAAAATTGAAATTTCATAAAATTTCAAATTTGAACCTTTTGAAGTTGATCTGTTTATGAAAATAATAAACGCAACTTTTTTTAAAATTCAATTAATTTTGAAATATTTAAGTAAAATTATTCATTAAATAATTTCGAAGTAATAATAAAATTTTATGATAGTTCTTCAAGAATTAAGTTATTTAAAAAGAAATTATTGTGAGAGATTGAAAAAATTGAAGGTTTCGTATTAGAATTCGTGGTAATTTCATAGTTTATGAGGCAAACAAAAAAACACAAAAATTCAGAATTTCTTATTATAAAAATTAAATTTTTCCCAGTACTTTGATTAAAAATCCCTGACTTTTTTCTGAATTCCTTGTCTTTCCTGATTTGTGGCAACCCTGTAAATTATTTTTCGTATTTTATACTTACGTGAGCAATTTTAATTCCCGTGATTAAACAGAGGTTTCCATGCGGCTGTACTTTGTGGAGTTTGGAAATAATTCGTCCTACATCGCTGGTCAGTGTTGCTAGAACTTCAGCACTGAAAAAGAATTCATTTCTTTATTAAAGTTCATTTTGTTTCTTCATTACAATTTATTTATTAAAAATTGACAAGAAATCTAAGAAATAATAATTTCAGACTACCTCGAAATTTTTCAATTTCTCATTCATTTAAAAACTTTGCAAACAATATAAGTAAATAAATAATATCATAAACAATATAACAATAAATAAATTATTTAGACAATAGATTTATACTTGGCGAGCGTTAACAATCCAACGTTGTTTTCAGGATTGGATCGAGTTTTCGAAAGGCAGACTAAATTAACAGCATCTTGTTGAGCTTGCAATCTTGTTGGTAAAAAGTCTCCATTTCTCATGTAGTCGCTATTGTCGACACTGGAAAAAAATAGATTTTCGGTAAAAATATAAACAAAAGTTTTCTTTTATTCCCCAATACGTAGAGGTTATGTTTACTGTAATATTTAGTTTCTCTCGATTAGCCTTAAAATCAAATTAAAGACTAATAGAATTATTTATTTAAACTATCCTTTTTCAGTTTTAATGCATAAATTGAAGGAATTTGATATTTTTCAAGTATACCATGATATTCAACTTTGCAGTGTCATACTCTAAATAGAAGGGATAACATTATTATTTATTTAAATAATTTTGACACCAGACGTTTACGGAAAAGACGAATGTAAAAAGTAAAAATTCTTTTTCACAATAAAAATTGTTAAATAATTAAAGTGCATGTTAATATTAAAAATAATTGAAAATATTATTGACAGCTCACCATATCATAGTACTTTCGAGCACCATTTTGCATTTACTAGTGGTTCAAGTTCCAGTTTTCAACCGTTTCATCTTCTTGGAATTCTGCGTTTCAATTTTCAATCCTTTTCCACTGATTCCGACAGTTGAATTTTATTTTGCTCCACGTGATTTTCGATTGACGTTATTTGATTTTTATTATTTAAATAATTAAATAACTTTTCTATTTTGTTTAAAATTAATTGACAAGTGGAAAAATTACATAATAGTTTTTCTCTTCTCTGTTACTTGTGATTTTTTAATAAGACGCACCCAAAAGGTATATGGATAAATCACATTCGATTCCTTTTTAGGTTATGTGTAAATTTTTCAATTTAAAAATTTTAATCATTTTAATTAAATAAATAAAATAGGAAAATAGCAAAAATAAAGAAAAATGAAGAATTACAGGAATTAAAAATAAGATTCTAGTTGATTAAAATACAATGTAGTAATTAACAATTAGAATTGTTACTGATTCATTTTTTGCTAGTTAAAATCTTTGGGAGTTGTATTTTTTAATCGCAGCTGGATATTGTGATAAATGACTAATTAAAAATTGTTGGCTAATTATACAATGAAGTGTAAAACTAATTGTTTTTTTAGATATGGCAGACGTAAAAGATGAAGACATTGTGGCAATAGGCCGAGTATTAAATGACGAAAACAGACCGTTAAAGGAAAGATTTCGAGCTCTTTTTACCTTGAAAAATATTGGAGGAAAATTAGCAATCGACCAAATAGAGAAGGGATTTAATGATCCGTCTGCATTATTAAAGCACGAACTCGCCTATTGTTTGGGACAAATGCAAGACACTCAAGCACTGTCTGTACTTATTAAAGTTTTAAAGGATAAGACCCAAGAGCCAATGGTTCGTCACGAAGCAGGTAATAATACTAAATATATTATTATTATTATTTATCATATTATAATAATAATAATTTGTCCTCACCTGAAATTAGTGTTGTTTTATTCCAATTTTTTGTTTTATAATTCGAATTGTTATGTCAAAGTTTGACAGTTAATTTGTAAATAATAAAGTAAGTGGAGTAAGAAAATCAAAGAAAATTGAACCCCAATTTCAAAAACTTAATAAAGAGGTACCAGTTGCAATTTTTAAAAATAATTAATTATTCTATAAATTATTTATTTTTGGATTTAAATAATTGAATTCTGATAAGAATTGATTTAAAAAAGAATTTTAGTTAAAACTCTAGAAAATAATTATTTAAAGTAGGATTCGTGAGATATAATTAATAAATATAATATATAAGAATTTAAAAATATAATAATATTCGTATTGATAACAAAATTCTGTTAATAAACAAAGGCGAGGCACTGGGAGCAATTGGTGACAGTAAAGTGATTCCAATACTTGAAGAATACTCAAAAGATCCACTCCCCGAGGTTGCTGAAACTTGCGAATTGGCTTTAAGACGATTGCAATGGTTGGATGATCCTGCATCGACAAAGGAAAAACTGTCGAAAAATCCTTACGCTTCTGTTGATCCCGCACCACCCTGCGAAATGAAAAGTATCGACGAATTAAAAATTATTCTTTTGGATGAAAATGAATCACTTTTTAATAGATATCGTGCAATGTTTGCATTGAGAAATATTCGAACAGATGAAAGTACAATCGCCATTGCTGAAGGTAAATTTATATTTTAATTATTCATTCTACTAACCAGAAACTAATTAAATTTTTTCAAACTGACACAGATCAAGAAAAATGAAATTTTGGCAGAAAAATCAGGGAAACGTTAGAGAATTTTATCTAAAGTACTGGAAAAATATCAAATTTCTAGAATTACTAGAAAAATTCTGATTGTTGGATTTTTTTACTGAATTTAATTTAAAATGTGTTGAAAATAATTAAATCCTACTAAACAACAAATTTTATGAAAATTTTGGAAAATAATTCAATTATTTCGAGAAATTTTATTCAAATTGTATTGAAAATAATGTAATTCCTGCAAAGCACTTCAATATTTATGAAAATAAATAAAATATAATAAAATTTGTAAAAATACAAATTCAAGTGCTTCAAAGAAAATTTAAATTCTTTCGAGGAGTTAAATTCAAATTGAACGTAAAATAATTGAATTAATGACAAGAATTTGATTTAAATTTTTGATAATAATTGAATTCTTTCAAGAAATTTAATTATTTAAAAATAATTGAATTATTTCGCTAACTTTTATTGAAATTGTATTAAAAATAATTGAATTCCTCTGAGGAATTTTTTAAATGATGAAAATAATTGAATTCCTGACAAGAATTTTATTAATTTTTTTTTGGAAAAAAATGTAATTGTTTCATAGACAATTAAAATTTTTTTAATTTAGTTAAAATTGTATTTAAAATTTAATTCAATTATAATAATGAATTGTATCAAAATGTTTGAAAAAAATCAATTCTTTCGATGAATTTTATAAACATTTTTAAAAATAATGTGAATTCTTGAGAGGAATTTTATTTTAATTGAATAGCAAATAATTAAATTCCAGCGGAGAATTATATTACTTATGAAAATAAGTTTATTCTTGCGAAGAATTTTATTAAATTATTAAAATATATAAAAATCTATTTATTTCAATAAAAAATGATTCAATTTTGTTACAGGTTTAAAGGCAGGAACCGCGCTATTTCGTCATGAGATTGCATTTGTTCTTGGGCAATTGCAAGAAGAAGTTTCTGTTCCATACCTAAAGGAATCGCTTGTGGACGAAAAGGAAAATGAAATGGTTCGTCACGAGTGCGCCGAAGCTTTAGGTGCAATTGCAACTGAAGATTGTTTGGAAATTTTGAACAAATATCTCGAAGATGAAAAACGTGTTGTTCGCGAAAGTTGCATTATTGCTTTGGACATGTGTGAATATGAAAACAGTTCCGAATTTCAGTACGCTGACACTCTGTCAGAAATTGTCTCGTAACATTATACAAAAAAGGCTTAGTATATTTTTTTATTAACCGCTAATTTTCAAATTTATAAATTTTACACTTTTTGATTTCTTTCATGCGAAAAAAAATTAATAAATTTTGTATTTGTACATTTTTTTAAAATTTTTACTTGAATAAAATATTGATTATATTTGACAATTGGAAGATAAGGTCAAAGTTTTTTCTTACACTGCCACATTGAAAGTAGAGAAATAAAAAGAAGAAAAAAATGTTTTTTTTATGCAGCGTTCAAATGTTTCTATTTTCTATTTTGACATTTTGTGAATTAATTCATAGTTAATGATACTAAAACTCGAATGAAAAAATTTCATTATTATAATTTTATATTGTCATTATAATTACATATTGTAATTTTAATTATAAATTATAATTCTAACTATAAATTCTAATTCTAATTATAAATTCTAATTTTAATTATAAATAATTATAAATAATTATAAATTACAATTTTAGTTATAAATTATAATTTTAATTACAAATTATAAGAAAATTAATATAGTTAATCGTAATGGGTAATAGAATTTCCCATGGAAATGCAAAACAATTGAAAAAATTGAATAAAATTTCAATCAAATCAAAGGAGTCGGAGACTTTGAAAAAAGTTTGGCAATTAGTGGAAAATGATGTCAACTATTATGGTTCGGCTTTTGGTAAAATGTAATTTACTTTTTTCAGGATGAAAAATTAAGAGAAGAAAAAAAATAATCGAATTTTTATATTTAGATTCTTTCAAAATCATCCTGAATACATCAAGTACTTTCAATACGATTTAATTCCGCAATTCGTTCAAGACGCTAAAATGAAAAAGAAATTTTCCTCAGTTTGTGCTATAATGAGTACTTTGATTGTAGATTATTTTAATAAGCCCCAACAGAGAAATGATGTTTTAGATTTCATAGCCATGATTCACAAAGACATGCAACTAACTCTTAAGGACCTCGAGGTATGTGACATAATTTTTATGTACCTGATTCATTTTAGATAGTATTAGAACTCAAGTCCTTAAAGTAAAGTGGATTTAAATTATGCATTTGGGTCAAACGTGCTTTCAGGGGCTCAGGTATTTTATTGTTTTGGTAATCCAATTGACGTTAATAAATTATATACCTAGTTTATAAACAAATTTAAATTTTTTCTATTTTCTGCTCTAAATATTTTTCTATTTTATTCCTATTTAATTATATTTTTGATTTTGCTTTTGCTTTAGTTCTAAAAAGTATTGGAATCATTTTCTACTGGATTTATTCGATTTATATTATATTTTATTGTATTTATTTATTTATGATTATTTATTTATATTTATTTACATTTATCACTAAAAAATATTTTCTTTTTTTTCAGAATTTTTCGTCCGATTTTTTGGAAATGTTAAAATGGGAATTTCCGGTACTTATGACAAAGGAGCAAATTGTCATTCAGTCGAATCAGTTTAATATTTTAATTCACAAAATGAATTCCCTGATGATAATTCATAGAGAGAATGATTTAAAATTTAATTCGAATGACGACTCTATTTTTCGATCGGTAAGTAATTTTTTAATTAATTCTATTTATATTATTCTTTTATTTATTTTAGCAAATAATCTATAAAATTTCTACATAAATAAATTTCTACATCAAATAAGAGTTTTTAATTAGACAATAATAATGATTTAATAATACAATAATTAATAATAATAATAATTATTCGTTTCGTTTTTGTATTATTATTATTCATCTCGTAAAAAATGGTGGGAAAATTCAAAATATTTCTCCTATTATTATAATAATATTAATAGTACAATTAATTTATTTTAAGCTTTGTGGATGGAATAAAAATCGAACGATTTATGGAAAATCTTTGGAATACTGGGAAGCAAGAAGAATTTATTGGTGCACAAGAGTTGCTTTATGGTCGACATTAGTTACTGATTTTTCAAATACAACGCATTCGAAAATAAGAAAAAATGTTAACGATTCAAGGACAAAAAGAAGAAAAGAAAGAAGCGAGATGAGAATTCAGTTTCGTAATTTTTCTGAAACTAGTTCTATTGACGAAGAAACAAGTAAATATCCACGAATTTAAATTTCCGAATTTGTATAATTTCAAGTAATTCTTAATTTTACTTTAATTAATTTTTATTTAACTGCAAATTTTTAAATATTAAAAAGAAATTGAAAAATATTTTGTAAAATTTTTTGAAATTAATTAAATAGTTAATTAATCAATTGATTGATTAATTAATTAAATAGATAATTAATTAATTTATTGATTGATTGATTAATTATAAATCATTATTTCAATTCTAAAAATGATTGCAAATTATTTTCAAATGTTAAATTTTTCTTAGTTAATTATTAAATTAATTAAATAAATCTCTGTTAAATTTTTAAATGTTATCCTTCAAATGTTAATTATTATAAATTTAATTTAATTATTTCCTAGAATGCACATAAATATTTCTTCTAGCACTTAAATATAAAAAGAGGCAATCAAGTGAACGTGGCATTGAAAAGCATTTAAAAAATTCTCAGCCTGATTCTCGAATGGAGGCAATCGATGAAAATTCAGTAGATTATTGTTTTTATTTAAACCAATTAATTTAATCTACGTTTTCTTAAATTTTAAGCGTACAATAAATATTTTAGTGCGAGAGCAATCTTGATTGCAGAGCAGTTAAAAATTTAAGAAAGGGATCTATCAAGAAAACAGAAGCTTTTAATGATGCTGTTAACTATTTAAAATTATCGAGACGAAATTCGGAACTTTATTTTTGTAAGTGTTTCAAACTGATTATAATTTACTGTAATTATTTTAAAATCAATTAATATTTACATTACAATTTAATTTAAGTAGCTAATTTTATCAGATTGTAATTATTAATTTTAATTATTAATTATTAACTTTAATTATTGATTTTTAATTCAATTTAAATATTTAATTTAAAATTTATCTAATTTAAAAAAATCAATATATTTTTTACATTATTTACAAAATAAAAAGTTCTTTTCTTTTTTCAGTTTCAAGTTCAACGAATGATAATGGAAACACGATGGAAACAGCACGAGAACGTAGGAGGCAACTAGTGGGAAATAAAAATCAAATATGATAATCAGATGCAAAGATTCTATTCCGAAAATAATAATTAAATTGAAATTAAAAATATTCCATATAAATATGGACGGAAATAAATAATTGAAACTAAAAATATTCCAATTTCTAGAATTTAAAGAAGGACAAAAGATATTTCTGATATTTTCAACAATATTGACAAAAGAATATCTCTCAGGCAAGTATTAATTTTTCAAAAAATCTTTTTATTCAGTTGAAATTGAATATTTTCTAATTTAACATTTTATTCTAATATTCTAATTTAATATTTAATTTTTTATATAAAAGTACATTTCAATTAACCAAAAATAATTTTATAATAAATTAACCAAACATAATTTTATAATAAATCGATCAATAAATTTGCAATAAGCAATTTTTATTTTATAAAATGCTTTTCTGAAAAAATATTTTCACTTTAGTAATTATTTATTATAGAGATCAAATTAACTTCAGAATAAATAAATTCTAATTTATTTAATGAATATTTATTTTTAAAAGTAATTAAAATGAAATAAGAACAAAACTTGTTACTTATAAATAAAAATAAAATATTCTTTTCTTAGATTCTGAAGAAATTGAAAAGCGATAATAATTTAAAAAAAAAAACTTGAGAAAAAAGTATGTAAATTTTTTGTTTGAATCGGTCTATTTTTGCATATATGACATTTGTACAACATATAAATACATTTAAATTTGGATGCGCGGCGCACAAAAATAGTTTGTCAAATATATAATACAAGAGAAAAGAGAGACTCGAGATCGAAAGCGCATCTCTACCACGCTTCGAGTCACGGAAATGAGTACGTATAGATGTAGACGAGTCACAGGTTGTTTAACAGTTCTCGCCAAAACTCCGAGAGGTTTAGTGCTCCAAAAAAGAAACCGTTATTGAACTGTTTATCAATATTACACAGTGTAAAAAAAATTGTTTACCACTGAAATTTTATTTTTCTCCTCTTTTCATTTTTTTTTCAAATAAAAATTCCATTTTGCAAAAAATCAACTAACTTTGGGGAAAAAGTTTAAAAAAATTTTTAAAAATTTAAAAACTTTAAAAAAGATTCCAAAAAATTTTTAAAAAGGATTTCTACTTTTCAAACAAAAATATATAGAAATTCATTTTTATTTGCAAATTACTTCGAGAGTTTGAAAATAATTACATTGCAAAATAAATTAATAGAAGTAATAGAAATATTTTTTTAATGTGCTTTGTTTTCGTAGAAAATTGCAAATTTAATGAATAAGTTCGTTTCTTTTTTGTAATATTGGTCCTATATTTTTATTAATTTTTGTTTTAAACAGACGATGGGTTCTTCGCTTAGCATGTTATGGAATTCATCGAATGATAATGTTATCGATCCTGTGACCAATCTGTCGGGAAGGCAGAAAAAACTTGTTCAGAACACGTGGAGTATTTTAAAGAAGGATCCCGTTGGCACCGGTGTTGCAATAATGATTGCGTGAGTACTCAGATTTTTCTCGTTTCTTAAAATGCGCAAACTTCTCCTCCAGAATATTATATTCTCAATTTTTCAAATATAAGCATCGATTAAATTATCATTATGAAATATTAACGTTTTCTCTTATCTTCAAGTGTGATAATAACGGAAATTTAATTTTATTTACTAAATATTTTGTGTAAATTTAAATTTTTTATGTAATTTTTAATTTTATTTACTAAACGTTTCGTGTAATTTTAATTTTCTGTATTAAATTTCTAATGTAATTTTAATTTGATATATAAAATTTTTTTGTAATTTTATATTTTAATTTTTTGCGAATTCTATAATTTACAAACCGGTTTTGATTCCTTGAGAGTACTTTCTTCAAGTGCCGAAGAATTCAAAAAAATTTTCAAGAACCGTTGAAATTTGCCGTGAGGGGAAAGAAATTATTGAAATAAATGTGGATTATTTTATTGTTTAATAATTAACACGATACAATGTGGAAAATATTTTTTTTAAAAAGAAAAATTGTGTGGAAAATATTCTTAATAAAAAGGAAAATTATACGGAAAATATTTTTAATAAATGGAAAATTATATAGGTAGAAAATATTTTAAATAAAAAAGAAAATTATATCCGGAAAATATTTTTAATAAGTGGAAAATTATGTAGAGAATATTTTTAATAAAAACGGAAATTAAATAGAAAATATTTCTAGGAAAAAGGAAAATTGTGTGGAAAATATTTTTAACAAAAAGGAAAATTATATAGAAAATAGTTTTAAAAAAAGAAAAAATTATAGAGAATATTTTTAACAAAAAGGAAAATTATATAAAAAATATTTTTAAAAAAGAAAAAATTATACAAAATATTTTTAACAAAATGGAAAATTATATAGAAAATATGTAATTGAATTCTTGCAAACAACTTAATCAAAATTTTCAAATTATTGAATTTCTTCGAAGAATTTTATTATTTATGAAAATAATTGAATTCTTGTTTTATTAAAACTTTTGAAAATCCTAATAAAATTCTTTAGAAAAATTTCTTTGAATTTTTTTAAAATAACGGAGTTTTTTAAAATAATTTTAATAGAAAATTTTGAAATTAATTGAATTTTATGAAGCATTTCTTTCAAGTTTTTAAAATAATCGTGTTTGTTAATAATTGAAATGAACCGTTTCATTATTGAATTTTATTAAAAGTTTTAGAAAATAATTAAAATCTTCTCAGAATTTTATTACAATTTTTCAAAATAATTTTATTCATTCAAACAATTTTATTAAAATTTTGAAAATAATTGAATTCCTGAGAAAAATTTTATTTCTTATAAAAACAATTTAATTCTTGCGAAAAATTTTATTATTTTTAAAAATAATTTGATTGTTTCGAAGAATTTTATTAAAATTTGTAAAAAAAAAACAATAATAATAATTACGTATGTACTTAATATGTAAATTTTGAAAATTTTGAATCTGAAATTATTCAATAAATGAATTTATATATAAAAAATTTTGTTATTTGCATAATAATAATTTCTAATAAAAAGTAAAAATTATATACAAAATATTTCAATAAAAATGAAAATTATATACAAAATATTTCAATAAAAATAAAAATTGTACACAAAATATTTTTAAAAGAGAATATTTTTAATAAAAAGGGAAATTATACAGAAAATATTTCTAATAAAAAGGAAAATTATATAGAAATTATTTTTGTCAAAAAGAAAAAAGTGTAGAAAATAATTTTGAAAAAGAGAAAAATTAGACAGAGAATACTTTTAACAAAAAGGAAAATTAAATAGAAAATATTTTTAAAAAAGAAATTATAATACAGAAAATATTTTTAACAAAAAGGAATATTTTGAATTAAAAAATAAATTTCGTTGGATATATAAAAACAATTTTTCAAAACAGCCTTTAAAAAAAGATCCCGTCAAATAATTCAGTTTTATCGACTAATAAAAAGAACATTTTTTTCTTTTTTTTTGCATATTTTCCACATTGCAAATTTTTGAATCCTTTTATCGGACATTAAGTCATTTACGATGATATTAAGTTTCATTTCGTTCGATATAAATCACTTTGTGCTCGGTGATTTTCGAGAAATATGGGTTTTAGCATTATTATTTATACATGGCTATTTATTTATATAATATATATCTAGAGAATATTGAAATATGTATTATGATAGAAGTATTGATTTTCTGGTTTGCCTTTAAACATTTACCACAAGCTAATTCTACTTTGTTTAGTGTGTTATAAAATTAATTGCACTTGCTTCTTGTCACACGTGCTACTGACATTACTATTCAACGCGCGATGCACTATTTTCTGCATACCTTGGTAGTATTAGTAAACTACGCACGTACTTTACTTCGAAATTAATTAAGCGTATCTTCATTCATGAAGAAACTACTGTATTTCAATAAATGATGAAACAATTTATTTTTCTTATTAATTCACACCTGTGTGCAGTTATTAAAATCTCGTTTGAGAAATTTCATTGTCAATTTCATTTCAAATTCTTTTCATTTCATTTTCAATTTTATTTCAAATTCTTTTCATTTCATTTTCAATTTTATTTCAAATTCTTTTCATTTCATTTTCAATTTCATTACAAATTCTTTTCATTTTCAATTTCTTTTCATATTCAATTTCATTTTGTAAAAAATGATTCTTTAATGAATGAAATATTTATTCGTGGGCACAATTTCCACGACAAAGATATTTTTGGGGTCTTTTGAAAAATGCCAAAATTTCTACGCTATTTGATAAATTCTAATAATTGTCTCATTGAGAAATTAATATTTAATCATTAATCATACTTAAAACAATAAATTAAATTTTTTCATAACTATAAAACATGAAGATGATCCAGTGATAATATCATTGTTTTATATTATAAGAATATTGTACTTCTTCAAAATTATTTTCAAGAATTTTTAACTAAAATTCTTCTCTAAATCAACTATTTTTAATAATTTTCGAAAATTTTTTTTTTAAGAATTTCCAAATACATTTGTTTACACAATATTCAATTTTACGAAATTTCAATTATTTTTATATTCTTCAATTAAATACATACCTATTAAAAAAATAAAAACTTCTAAATAATTTTTTTTTTTATTTTTAGAAATTTATTGAATTTTTTTTAATTAAATTTTTTCCAAAAAATTTATTTCAAAATTAAATTATTTCTAAAAATTCCCGCTACCTATATTGCTTCTTATATTCAATTATTATCTAAAATTTTAACTAAAAATCATTTTTAAATCAATTTTTATTAAAAAATTCCAGTAGAATTAAATTATTGAAATACACAAATAAATAATTTTTATTGAATAATTGAATTATTTTGACGAATTTTAATAAAATTCTTAAGAATAATTACATTATTCGAGAAAGTCGATTAAAACTGTATTCAAAATAATTGAAATTCTGCGATAAGTTTATGATATTTATGAAAATAATTTAAAAATGTGAAGAATTTTATAAGACATTTTTAAAAAATTTGTAAATAATTATTGAATTCCTGTGAAATTTTAATTATTTATAAAAATAATTGAATTTTTGCAAATCAATTTTTATTAAAAAATTCTACTAGAATTAAATTATTTAAATACAAAAATAAATAATTTATTGCAAATAATTGAATGATTTTTAAATAATTAAATTTTTTGGACGAATTTTAATAAAATTTTTGTGAATAAATTACATTTTTTAAGGAATTCGATTAAAATTGTATTCAAAATAATTGAAATTCTGCGATGAGTTTTATTATTTGTGAAAATAATTGAATTTTATTATTTTAGAACATAATTAAATTTCTGCGAAGAATTTTATTACCTACTCTTAAAAATAATTGAATTTCTGCAATAATTTGTAATTTCTCCAGAATTAAATTTTGTTTTTAGTGCTTTTAAATAAAATTCTATCAAAAATCAAATATTTTTAATAAATTTTGAAAAAAAATTCTTTGAGAAGTTAAGAATATGAAAAATTCAGATTTTCAAAGATTTTAGTTTGAAACGTTTTCAAAATTCAATTATTTAAAAAATTTACGATATAATGCATTTATTATTCAATTGTAATCTAAAATTTTAACGGAAATTCATTTTTAAATCAATTTTTATTATAAAATTCTACAAGAATTCAAATTATTTAAATAAAAAGAAAATAATTTATTGAATAATTGAATGTTTCTTAAAATTGAATTCTTTTGACGAATTTTAATAACATTTTTAAGAATAATTACATTTTTCGAGGAATTTGATTAAAATTGTACTAAAAATAATTGAAATTCTGCGATGAGTTTTATTATTTACGAAAATAATTGAATTTCTCCGAAGAATTTTATTACTCTTAAAAATAATTGAATTTCTCCGTAGAATTTTATTATTCTTAAAAATAATTGAATTTTTGCAATAATTTATAATTTCTCCAGAATTAAATTTTGTTTTTAGTGCTTTTAACTAAAATTTTACCAAAAATCCATTATTTTTAATAATTTTTGAAAAAGTTCTTTGAGAAGTTAAGAATATGAAAAATTCAGATTTACAAAGATTTTAATTTGAATGTTCTTAAAATTTAATTATTTTAAAAATTTACACTCTAATGCTTTTAATTAATTATTTATTTATTTATTTATTTAATGTATATACGGGCTCAAAGGCCCTTTGAAGAGTAATTTAAATTTTAATATTCAATTATTATATAAAAATTTTAACGAAAATTCTTTTTTAAATCAATTTTTATTAGAAAATTCTACTAGAATTCAATTATTTAAATACAAAAAAATTAGTGTTATTATTTATGAAAATAATTGAATTTGTGTGAAATTTTTATTATTTATGAAAATAATTAAATGTTTGCGTTGAATTTTATCAACAATTGTTTTAAATAATTGAATTCTTTTGAAAAATTTTATTAAAATAGTGGATATTGAAAATTATTAAATTCAGAAAATTGGTACAATTAGATAAGAAAATGTTTAATTGTATCTAATTATTTTTCTTATGCAGATTGGAATTTTGGAAATTATTTAAGTAGAAAAAAAATTTCGTTCATTTGAATGTTTAAAACTTTGGGAAAATTAATTTAACGAAATTATAATTCCATTGAATTGCAAAATTCAGCGAAATTATAAACTCGTCGAATTCAATTTAACGAAATTATAAATTTCTTTGCAATCGAATTTTCGAAATTTGAATTATATTATGAAGTATTAATTTTAATATATTAATAAAATAAATAAATTATTTTCTCAATAAACATAAATTGTCTCCTAATTGTGTAAATTAGAAATCGATTAAAATTTTGGCTTTGACTTGAAATTTTTGCAGATATTTCAAAAAATATCCGGAATATCAAAAGTTATTCGCCTCGTTCAGCAACGTTCCATTGGACGAGCTTCCAAATAATAAAAAATACCAAGCACATTGCTTGAATATTGTGACGGCCTTAGGCAGTGTGATCGATGCCATTAACGATCCTCCTTTGATGGAAGCAAGCTTGATTAGCTTGGGTGAGAGGCACAGAAGACGTGGACAAACCAAAGAGCAGTTTGACGTGAGTAGCTTCACAACTTCTTTTTTCGAGTTCTGCATGACTAATGTACATATACTTCTCTTTAAGACTGACAAGCGGCGACGAGACGAGAGACTTTATGAGCTGAAAGTCATAAATTCATTGTACATATAATATAAAGTCTCTAAACTTGCTGTCACTTTGAACATAACGATAATTGAATTTTCTGCATGAGTTAAAATATTCTTTCAAACTAAATTGGCGTCAATTAGATCATTACATAATCCTCGCGAATTTCACAAAGAGTTGGACAATTTTGAAGAATGGAATTTTTTTTTAATTTCTATTTAAATAATACTATTAATATTTTATTCTTCTATCAGGCTTCGCACTCAACAGGTTAATTTTGTTTTTATCTAACATATTTTTTAGCACTTTTTTGGAAAATAATCCCTTCTTTTGAAGGGGAAATTTTCACAGAGGATTAAAAAAAGTAGGGAAATTTTACCCAAAGTAGTAGAAAAGTATCAAATTATTGGAAAACTTAAATTGTCGATGAATTTTATTTCTCACCGTAAAAATTTGAAAAAAACACTATAAATAAAGATAAAGTTGCTATTTTTTTTTAGAAATAATCAATTATTTTATCCATTATTTATTTTTGTATAAAAATAATTTAATTCTCGTCATTTAAATTCTTTGAAAAATTGACTAGTTTTTCGAATTTTACAAAAATTCTTTTAAGAAAATGAATTATTTTCGGAAAAATTGCATTGCATGCAATATTTTTAGAAAACTAATTCAATTGAAATTTTAATAATTTAAAAAATTGTTTAAATTATCTAAAAAAAAAGAAAATTATAAAAAATCTACTTTTATAGACTCATAAAAAATTTGTACAGAAATCATCTATTTTCATGTTTGTTTTAATTAGAATTCTTTAAAAACTTGATTATTTTTTAGTATTCTCGAAAAATTCTTTTAAAATATTCAATTATTTCCCCAAAAATTGACTAAACTTACTTATTTAATTATATGAAAATTTGTTAATTATATATCAGAGAAAAATCTATTATCCTTCAAAAATGATTTGAAAATATTCTTAAAAAACTAATTTTAAGAATTTTTTTTAAAGTTAACAAAAAAAGTTACATTTGTAATTTTTATAAAAAAATTGAATTTTTGTATTTAAATAATTGAATTCTATAAGAATTTTCGGAAACTTATTAAAAAATTTAATTAATAATTGATTTAGAGAAGAATTTTAGTCAACATTCTAGGAATAAACTGAATATTAAAAGTAATATTTTTAGAAATTCAATATTGATTGAATATTTTTAAAAATAATAAAATTTCAAATGGTCTCTAAACTGAAATTTTTGTAAATTTTAATTTCTGTAAAAGTATAATAATATTTAAATATTCAATTTTTAAAATTATTAATTTACTATTTTTCTAAATTATTAAAGTTTTAAATAATTATATTTGAAAATTCAAAAAAAAGAAAAAAATTGCAGTTGTAATTTTTAGAAAAAATTAATTTTCAAAAGATTTTACATTGAAATTATTATGTAAAATTTTAATTCCTAAGAAAAAATATATAAAAATTCCTAAGTATTTAAATATTTATTTAACAAATATTATTAAATTCAAGTTTTGAATAATTTAATTTGTAAATTTTGAAGAAAATTAGGTTTTCGAAAAATTGTAAAATTTAATTTAACTTATTCAATTTAATATATTTGAATTTAATTTTTAATTAAAAATTGGAATCGACTGAAACGAGTTTTTTAATTCGTCAAATTTAATTTTTTCAATTGCTCCTTTTTTACTGCTTCTTATCAGTGTTACAACTGCTTTCTCAATTAATTAAAGAGTGCGAAGCCTGTTTTATTTTTCACCATGTTTATTAATATTTCCTTCATTTATTTTTCGCCTCTTCTTTTCGCTGAAGAAACAAATTTTATCATCTGGAAAGAATCCAATTTTTTTCAATGTTGAGTTAAAGACGAAAAAATAAATTCGAAGAAATTCGGAAAATTCTAATTCAAATTGTCAATGATTATTTTTTGAATTCTAATTGTCAGTCATTATTTTTTGATTTCTAATTGTCAGTAATTATTTTTTGATTTCTGATTGTCAATAATTATTTTTTGAATTCCAATTGTCAGTAATAATTTTTTGATTTCTAATTGTCACTAATTATTTTTTGAATTCCAATTGTCAGTAATTATTTTTTGATTTTTAATTGTCAATAATTATTTTTTCGACAATTGGAGAGATATTTTGCCATAATAAACGAGATTCTCCTCTTATTAGTAATATGGAGAATTTAATTAGTCAAATATTGTTTGAAGGATGCGAGGCGGAATAATGATTTGAGTTTCTAGTTAACAGGGATAGTCACGTACTTGAAAGAGTAACAATTTAACGACATTATTTTCATGCGTCAGGGGGAAAACAATATTTGAATATTCAAATGATTTTTGATTCGCGTTGGAAATTATACACTGCGTTAATGCGTATACATTGTCAGACACTCGTTAAACCGCAAGTCGTTAAATCGGTTCGCTTCATTGATTTGAATTAACGATATTTTTCTAACACAAAGTCATATTTAATATATTCATATTTTTAATTCTATATCAATACGACAAGTAGAAGGGAGATAAAGATATATTGGAATAATTTATCAAATTGGTATTAAGTTTAAACTCCAATCATCCACAATTTTCTATTTATCAAGGAGAAATGAATAAAAGGAATTACTCCTTCTATCTCTAGTAGAAAATTACCGGCGACACAACAGTTTATATTGTAATCATTAAATCGAATAAATTCTATTTCTTTCTTTGTGTTTGAGAAAAAAATAATAATTTTTCTCTTCGAATAAAAAAGAAAATTCCAATAGAATAAAAAATTGTATTCATTTTTTTTCAATTCAAATGCAAAATAATTCAAAGAATCTAAAAAAGATTGTTTTGTTTTTATTTCAGCAATTAAAAGCGGTGATTTTGGAAATAATTGGCGTAAGTTTGGGCTCGAAATTCACACCAGAAACACGAGATGCTTGGAATAAGACCCTTGACGTTGCTTTTGAATGCCTTTATAAAGCATACTCTTAGTAATCAACAGCTTTGTTAATAATTATAATTGAAAAAATTAACAAAAGAAAAAATGTTTTCGCTGATGAAAAAAACATCAAATACCGGCCTATCACAAATTTCACTGTGGCTATGTTATTATATTTCTAGGACAACACTCCTAGACCAAAAAAAAAAAAATCCCCTGCAAGTTAAAAAGTAAAATTAATTAAAAAATGAAATTTAAATTGAATTAAAAGAAATGAATTCAGTGAAAAAAAAGAAATTAATAAAAATCGGTAATATCAATATTTTCTTGAAAACAAAGTTTTTGTCTTAAAAAAGAAAAAAAATGTCAAAACAGTGTCTATGTTTTACACACGATAAACAGTAAAAAAAAATTAGTATATTAAAATATTTACTAATTATAATTGTAATATTATAATAATAATATTGAATATTACATATTATTAATATAATTATAATAACTAATAAGATACGTTATATTTTAATAGGGTTGACTACTTGTTTTATATGAAAAACTTAATTAAATGATCTAATAATGTTTACATTTTACATAATATGTGATTGTATTTTTAAGTTATATTTTAAGATAACTCTTGCATAGAGAGGCTTGAACAGAATTGATAATTTTCAAATATTTACGATTATTAATTTATGTAAATAATAAATGCTTTCAAAAGAAGAATAAGAAGAAAAAAAATACTAGCAGATATTTATAGATTGAGTAAAATACTCAATTAAAAATAATTATCAATAATGTTTTAAGTGTTGCTCTAAGCATCCATTAATTATCAATCAAAAAAATGTAATTAATTATTATAAAAATGACAAATTTCAATGCATTTTAAGTAGGGAAAATGTTTGTAAAATAAAGCGAGTTTAATACACGAATTATTCAATTTTAATATTTGGGTATTTATTTATTTAATAGGGACTGAAAATGTTATTAATTTTGAAAATAATTTAAAATTGGATATCAATTTTTAATTAATATCCAATTTTCAGAAGAAATTTATTATTTTTATAATATTTTTTTTAAAAAAATACGTTTTTCACGTAAAAAAATGTGTTTTCTGGTTATTTTTATTATTTTCTAATTATTTGAAAACTAGCCAAACTATCCGCGCGGGAATGTTGTATGGGACTGCTTATTTTAAACAATTTAAAAAATTCTAAAGAAATAATTATTATAACCTAACAAAGAGATTTAACTAACTAAAAATCAAATAATTTCACTCAATGGTCTCAATTTAAATAGAATTTACATTACTAGACTTAAACTATGGCTAGAACAATTACAATTAGTATCTGGGTCATCTTTTGCATTGCCTATTTTATAAAGCCATTTTAAATTAAATACTTTTTAAAGAAATAATAATTATTACACACTGAAAAAAGTTTTACTTGAAATAGCGATAAGTTTCTCTAGAATAACGAAAGTATTAATTGAAGCACTGAAAAATTTCGCTACTAAAGTGAAATCTGTAGTTCATCCAGCTAAATATTTTTTGCCGTGCATAACGAAAAAAGAATTAAATTAACATCAGATTTTCTACATTAAAAAAAAACGAATTCAAATAGAAATTAATCATTTTACAACTTAACCAAATTCACCCCAAAAATCACTGAATTCGATAATTTAGAAGAAAGTCAGACAAAAGCAGGGTTCCTACAGAATCTGGAAAATCATGAAAATAATATGGAATTTTTAAAAGGCTTCTGGAAATCAGGGAAATCATGGAAAAGGCCTGGAATTTTTAAAAGTTTCTAAATTTTTTCAGTTTTCCATTTTTTCTCTTGAATAAAAATTCAAATAATAATAAAGCTAAATGGCATAAAAGACAAAAAAAAAATGTTGAATTTTAAGCAATTCCATTTTTCGAATTTTTGATAATTTTCGATAATTTTAGATTTTTTACCAAAGAGTCGAGACAATTTAATAAGTAAAGTATTTTCTAAAAGCACAAAAATAATGAAGCTATATCCCATAAAAGAGAAGAAAAAATGTTGAATTTTAAGAAATTCGGATTTTTGAATTTTTTCGAATTTTTGATAATTTTAGATTTTTTACCAAAGAATCGAGACTATTAAATAAGTAAAGTATTTTCCAAAAGCACAAAAATAATGCAGATAAATCCCATAAAAGAGAGGAAAAAATGTTGAATTTTAAGAAAATCGATTTTTGAATTTTTTCGAATTTTTGATAATTTTAGATTTTTTACCAAAGATTCGAGACAATTTAATAAGTAAAGTATTTTTCAAAAGCACAAAAATAATGAAGCTAAATCCCATAAAAGAGAGAAAAAATTTAGAATTTTTAGAAATTCGGATTTTTGAAATTTTTCGAATTTTTGATAATTTTAGATTTTTTACCAAAGAGTCAAGAGTATTAAATAAGTAAAGTATTTTCCAAAAGCACAAAAATAATGAAGCTAAATCCCATAAAAGAGAAGAAAAAATATTGAATTTTAAGAAAATCGGATTTTTGAATTTTTTCGAATTTTTGATAATTTTAGATTTTTTACCAAAGAGACGAGAGTAATTAATAAGTAAAGTATTTTCCAAAAGCACAAAAATAATGAAGCTGAATCCCATAAAAGAGAGGAAAAAATGTTGAATTTTTAGAAATTCGGATTTTTGAAATTTTTCGAATTTTTGATAATTTTAGATTTTTTACCAAAGATTCGAGACAATTTAATAAGTAAAGTATTTTTCAAAAGCACAAAAATAATGAAGCTAAATCCCATAAAAGAGAGGAAAAAATGTTGAATTTTTAGAAATTCGGATTTTTGAATTTTTTCGAATTTTTGATAATTTCAGATTTTTTACCAAAGATTCGAGACAATTTAATAAGTAAAGTATTTTTCAAAAGCACAAAAATAATGAAGCTAAATCCCATAAAAGAGAGGAAAAAATGTTGAATTTTTAGAAATTCGGATTTTTGAAATTTTTCGAATTTTTGATAGTTTTAGATTTTTTACCAAAGAGTCGAGAGTATTAAATAAGTAAAGTATTTTCCATAAGCACAAATATAATGAAGCTAAATCCCATTAAAGAGAAGAAAAAATGTTGAATTTTAAGAAAATCGGATTTTTGAATTTTTTCGAATTTTCGATAATTTTAGAATTTTTACCAAAGAGTCGAGACAATTTAATAAGTAAAGTATTTTTTAAAAGCACAAAAATAATGAAGCTAAATCCCATTAAAGAGAAGAAAAAATGTTAAATTTTAAGAAAATCGGATTTTTGAATTTTTTCGAATATTTGATAATTTTAGATTTTTTACCAAAGAGTCGAGACTATTAAATAAGTAAAGCATTTTTCAAAAGCACAAAAATAATAAAGCTAAATTCCATAAAAGAGAAGAAAAAATTTGAATTTTAAGAAATTCGGATTTTTGAATTTTTGATAATTTTCGATAATTTTAGAATTTTTACCAAAGAGTCGAGAAAATTTAATAAGTAAAATATTTTCCAAAAGCACAAAAATAATGAAGCTAAATCCCATAAAAGAGAAAAAAAAATATTGAATTTTAAGAAAATCGGATATTTGAATTTTTTCGAATTTTTGATAATTTTAGATTTTTTACCAAAGAGACGAGACTATTAAATAAGTAAAGCATTTTCCAAAAGCACAAAAATAATGAAGCTAAATCTCATAAAAGAGAAGAAAAAATGTTGAATTATAAGAAATTCGGATTTTTGAATTTTTGATAATTTTCGATAATTTTAGAATTTTTACCAAAGAGTCGAGACAATTTAATAAGTAAAGTATTTTCCAAAAGCACAAAAATAATGAAGCTAAATCCCAAAAAAGAGAAGAAAAAATATTGAATTTTAAGAAAATCGGATTTTTGAATTTTTGATAATTTTAGAATTTTTACCAAAGAGTCGAGAATATTAAATAAGTAAAGTATTTTCCAATAGCACAAAACAAATGAAGCTAAATCCTATAAAAGAGAGGAAAAAATGTTGAATTTTAAGAAAAACGTATTTTTGAAATTTTTCGAATTTTTGATAATTTTAATTTTTTTACCAAAGAATCGAGACAATTTAATAAGTAAAGTATTTTTCAAAAGCACAAAAATAATGAAGCTAAATCCCATAAAAGAGAGGAAAAAATGTTGAATTTTTAGAAATTCGGATTTTTGAAATTTTTCGAATTTTTGATAGTTTTAGATTTTTTACCAAAGAGTCGAGAGTATTAAATAAGTAAAGTATTTTCCATAAGCACAAATATAATGAAGCTAAATCCCATTAAAGAGAAGAAAAAATATTGAATTTTAAGAAAATCGGATTTTTGAATTTTTGATAATTTTAGATTTTTTACCAAAGAGTCGAGAGTATTAAATAAGTAAAGTATTTTCCAAAAGCACAAAAATAATGAAGCTGAATCCCATAAAAGAGAGGAAAAAATGTTGAATTTTTAGAAATTCGGATTTTTGAAATTTTTCGAATTTTCGATAATTTTAGAATTTTTACCAAAGATTCGAGAATATTAAATAAGTAAAGTATTTTCCAATAGCACAAAAAAAATGAAGCTAAATCCTATAAAAGAGAGGAAAAAATGTTGAATTTTAAGAAAAACGTATTTTTGAAATTTTTCGAATTTTTGATAATTTTAATTTTTTTACCAAAGAGTCGAGACAATTTAATAAGTAAAGTATTTTTCAAAAGCACAAAAATAATGAAGCTAAATCCCATAAAAGAGAGGAAAAAATGTTGAATTTTTAGAAATTCGGATTTTTGAAATTTTTCGAATTTTTGATAATTTTAGATTTTTTACTAAAGAGTCAAGAGTATAAAATAAGCAAAGTATTTTCCAAAAGCACAAAAATAATGAAGCTAAATCCCATTAAAGAGAAGAAAAAATGTTAAATTTTAAGAAAATCGGATTTTTGAATTTTTTCGAATTTTTGATAATTTTAGATTTTTTACCAAAGAGACGAGACAATTAAATAAGTAAAGCATTTTCTAAAAGCACAAAAATAATAAAGCTAAATTCTATAAAAGAGAAGAAAAAATGTTGAATTTTAAGAAATTCGGATTTTTGAATTTTTGATAATTTTCGATAATTTTAGAATTTTTACCAAAGAGTCGAGACAATTTAATAAGTAAAGTATTTTTCAAAAGCACAAAAATAATGAAGCTAAATCCCATAAAAGAGAAGAAAAAATATTGAATTTTAATAAAATCGGATTTCTAAATTTTTTCAAATTTTTGATAATTTTAGATTTTTTACCAAAGATTCGAGACAATTTAATAAGTAAAGTATTTTTCAAAAGCACAAAAATAATGAAGCTAAATCCCATAAAAGAGAGGAAAAAATGTTGAATTTTTAGAAATTCGGATTTTTGAAATTTTTCGAATTTTTGATAATTTTAGATTTTTTACCAAAGAGTCGAGAGTATTAAATAAGTAAAGTATTTTCCAAAAGCACAAAAATAATGAAGCTAAATCCCATTAAAGAGAAGAAAAAATGTTAAATTTTAAGAAAATCGGATTTTTGAATTTTTTCGAATTTTTGATAATTTTAGATTTTTTACCAAAGAGTAGAGACTATTAAATAAGTAAAGCATTTTCCAAAAGCACAAAAATAATAAAGCTAAATTCTATAAAAGAGAAGAAAAAATGTTGAATTTTAAGAAATTCGGATTTTTGAATTTTTGATAATTTTCGATAATTTTAGAATTTTTACCAAAGAGTCGAGACAATTTAATAAGTAAAGTATTTTTCAAAAGCACAAAAATAATGAAGCTAAATCCCATAAAAGAGAAGAAAAAATATTGAATTTTAATAAAATCGGATTTCTAAATTTTTTCAAATTTTTGATAATTTTAGATTTTTTACCAAAGATTCGAGACAATTTAATAAGTAAAGTATTTTTCAAAAGCACAAAAATAATGAAGCTAAATCCCATAAAAGAGAGGAAAAAATGTTGAATTTTTAGAAATTCGGATTTTTGAAATTTTTCGAATTTTTGATAATTTTAGATTTTTTACCAAAGAGTCGAGAGTATTAAATAAGTAAAGTATTTTCCAAAAGCACAAAAATAATGAAGCTAAATCCCATTAAAGAGAAGAAAAAATGTTAAATTTTAAGAAAATCGGATTTTTGAATTTTTTCGAATTTTTGATAATTTTAGATTTTTTACCAAAGAGTCGAGACTATTAAATAAGTAAAGCATTTTTCAAAATCACAAAAATAATAAAGCTAAATTCCATAAAAGAGATGAAAAAATATTAAATTTTAAGAAAATCGGATTTTTGAATTTTTGATAATTTTAGATTTTTTACCAAAGAGATGAGACTATTAAATAAGTAAAGCATTTTCCAAAAGCACAAAAATAATGAAGCTAAATCCCATAAAAGAGAAGAAAAAATATTGAATTTTAAAAAAATCGGATATTTGAATTTTTTCGGATTTTTGATAATTTTAGATTTTTTACCAAAGAGTCGAGACAATTTAATAAGTAAAGTATTTTCCAAAAGCACAAAAATAATGAAGCTAAATCCCATAAAAGAGAGGAAAAAATGTTGAATTTTTAGAAATTCGGATTTTTGAATTTTTTCGAATTTTTTATAATTTTAGATTTTTTACCAAAGAGTCGAGACAATTTAATAAGTAAAGTATTTTCCAAAAGCACAAAAATAATGAAGCTAAATCCCATTAAAGAGTAGAAAAAATGTTAAATTTTAAGAAAATCGGATTTTTGAATTTTTTCGAATTTTTGATAATTTTAGATTTTTTATGAAAGAGTCGAGACTATTAAATAAGTAAAGCATTTTCCAAAAGCACAAAAATAATGAAGCGAAATCCCATAAAAGAGAAGAAAATATATTGAATTTTAAGAAAATCGGATTTTTGAATTTTTTCGAATTTTTGATAATTTTAGATTTTTTACCAAAGAGTCGAGACAATTTAATAAGTAAAGTATTTTTCAAAAGCACAAAAATAATGAAGCTAAATCCCATAAAAGAGAAGAAAAAATATTGAATTTTAAGAAAATCGGATTTTTGAATTTTTTCGAATTTTTGATAATTTTAGATTTTTTACCAAAGAGTCTAGACAATTTAATAAGTAAAGTATTTTCCACATTAAAAAGTTTGAGATTAAAAAATATATATAAAATGCCAATACTTAACCCACAAAATTTAATTTTCAAAACAAACAAATGAATGCAGATAATTTGCTAACGGAAAGGAAACTTACGATTATTATAATGTATATTCCAAATTTATTGTTTGAAAATAATTTAGAATTATATTAAATTGAAGTATCAAATTTATTTAATTAAATAAAATAAAACTTTTAATTGAACGAGAAAGAAATTCATAATTTTTATAATATCTAAACTATTTCCAAACAATTAGAGAATAATAAAAATTACTCTAAAAACAAAATCTCAAAAAGAAAAATTTTTTTTCCGAGCTATTTTTATTATTTTTCAATTATTTAAAAATAATTTAGAATCAGAGATCTCTAGAATCAGATATAAATTTTTTAATTGAATGAGAAAAAAAAATGTTTAGCTTTTCAAATATCTGCTAAGAAACTTTATTTTTTCGGTGAAAAAAAATATATTTTCAAGTTACTTTTATTTCCTAATTTTTTGAAAATAATGCAGAATTAGAATAAATTAAATTATTCCTAAATAATTAAATTTTAATTGATTGAAAATAATTTCATAATTTTGAAAATTTCCGTTAAAAAATTTATTTTGAAGTGAAAGAAAGATTTAATTCCTAGTTATTCTCATTATTTCTGAAATATTTTGAAGATCATTTAGAAGAAATATAAATTTTTAATCAAACGAAAAATTTTTTTTTTACAAATGATTTATTAAAAAATTTATTTTCTCATGAAAATAAATATTCTTCCGAGCTATTTTATTATTTTTCAATTATGTATTTTAATTTAGAGTTAGAATAAATTCAATTATTTAAGGTATTTAATTAAATTTTTAATTAAATGAGAAAAAAATTTATATTTTAGAAAATGTCTGTTAAAAAATCATTTTCTATTCTATTTCCGAGTTATTCTAATTATTCCTAGATTATTTTGCAGATTTAGTAGAATAAATATTAAATTTTAATTAAACGAGAAGAAAATTCATATGCTTAAAATTATGTATTTAAAAATCCATTTTCTCATAAAAAAAAATATTTTTCCGAGTTATTTTTATAATTTTCAAATTATTCGACAATAACTTAGAATTTGATATCTAAATTTTTCAATTGAATTAAAAAGAAAATTCATGTCTATAATTATAATTATAATTTTTTTTTTTTGAAATAAATAAATAATTTTTGAAATATCTACAAAAAAATTCATTTTAACGTGAAAAAAAATCTATTTCCTTGTTATTTTCCATTCCTAATTATTTGAAGAAATAATTTAGAATTAGATGTAAATTGTTTAGAAGAGGAGAAAAATTTCCAATTTTTGATAATATCTCCGAAAAGAATTCATTTTCACCTCAGAAGAAAAAACTTGTATTTCCGAGTTATTTGATTTTCATCGTCATTTATGAATTCTGAAATTCAGAAATGAAGAAAAATTGAAAGAGAGACGGAGAGAAAGAAAAGAAGATGAGAATTGTATGATTTCCGGTACGTCTATGCGACCGGACATTGTAGGAATAGTATTATGAGCCAACGACCGGCAATTTGTTCCATTGCAATGCAACGGAACGTCAATGTATGTATATATACGGATCTGGACAAAAGAAAGTATAGGTATGCGAAAAATTTCATTTTCCCCTTGTTTGTTCAAAGCTTCCGTATATATAAACCAATAGGAATTATATATATGTATATATACATATATAGAACGAATAGAACATATATAGAACGTATAGAACATTTATACTCTTCGCATCAAAGGTGAACATGAGTTGATGTTAAAATAAAACACGACTTATAACGAGTATACAATAATTAAAATTAATTCTCGCGCGCGCACAATTATTCCTGGATTTCATTTTCAATGCATATCGTGTGCCTGTTCTTTTTTCTATTTTTTTAATTGAAAAAAAATCTAGGCTATTATTCTCTTTTGTCAAGGTCTCACAGGAGCTTATTCCATTGTTTTTCCCCGTGTTACATACATCGTGTGTGTGTGTTTTTTTCTCGAGAAAATCTCACATACGAGAAAAGGACTCAATTTATTTTCAATAGGGCTTTTTCTTATATATCACAATTTCTTTTCGTATTTTTTCCTCTCGTAATTTCACACTTGATTGATGGAGAATTTTCGTTAAACCCGGTTGTTTTTTAGGTGTAATTAATTTAAAATCTTCTTTTGAATTTTTTCTTAAAATTCCATTTTGTTTTTGAATTTTTGTACCTTTCGAAAATAGAATATTAACACCCAATATAATTCGTTTAATCTTGACGATTTTTTTATAGAATTTTCCAGAATTTGTAAATTTTTTTCGGAAACATTTACATACTTCATTGTTTTTTGACTTCCTTATTTTTCTTTTAGTTTTAAATTTCAATATCTTCATTTTCATAAATATTTTCAGTAGATTCTACTGCACTTTTTGTTGATCTTTCTTTTTTTATTTCTTCGTCATTTTTATTATGCTTTGTATTTTCTCTATTAATTTGATTCGTTTAAGAAAATTGTGATGGTAATAATTTTATAATTTTTATGTATAATTATAATGAAAATTATAAAGAATTTCTATATAATTATAATGAAAATAATAATAATTTAATTAATAATTTTTATATTTTAGAAGAATTGAGAATGAATAAGAATTTAAAAAAATAATTCTTTAAATTTTAGAAGAATTGAGAATGAATAAGAATTTAAAAAAATGATTTTTTCAAATTTAGAAGAATTGAGAATGAATAAGAATTTTAATAAATAATTTATTATTTATTACTTACGGAATTTCGGTTTGTTCATCGCCAAGTTCACCAAACGGATGGTCAAGAGCTCTTCCAAAATCCTTTCCAAGTTGTTTGAAGGTTTCTTTTCCTAGCCAATCGGCAAGATCATTTCTATTCATTTGTCGTAGGCGACGTTCGAGTTCCTCGTGCGTTTTACCTTTTCCTTCGTTCGTTGATATATTCCAATGAATCAATTGTCGAAGGCAAGGAATTTCTTCATTCACTTTTCGTTCTGTAGAGAGAAATCAAGTGAAAATAAAAATACAGCAAAATTGAATTGAATAAAATAAAGTAAAATAAAATTTAATATCATCCACTTATTAAATAACTTGCAATATTTTTCTCGCTCGTAATAATTTTTTGTATTTTCTGCTTTATGAATAATTTTACCATCTATATTAATAATCGTTGTATTCCAGAAATCTTTTCCCAATTTGAAATTAGTTTTTATTTTCTTTTTTGATTCACAAATTTTTTTAAATAATTTTTCTTTGAAATCTTTTCAATTTTAAAATAAATGTATTGAAAATCACTGAATTCCTTTGTAGGATTTTTTAAAAATGAGAACAATTAAATTCTTTTGAGATACTTTATTAAAATTTGATTGAAAATAATTGAATTCCTACGAAGAATTTTATTATTTACAGAAATAATTGAATTCTTAGGAGAAAATTTATTAAAATTTTTTAAAGTAATCGAATTATTTTAAAAAATTTCGTTAAATTTTTCGAAAGTAATTTTAATTGAAAATTCGATTATTGGATTTGATTAAAATTTTTAGAAAATAATTAATTAATAAAATTTAATAATCTCAAATTTTTGTAAAAACAATTGAATTCATTCAAGGAAAAATTTTATTAAAATTTTTAGAAATTGAATTCTTTCGAGAAATTTTATAAAAATTTGTTTTAAAATAATTGAATTCCTGCGAAAAATTTTATTATTAATGAAAATAATTGAATTTTATTAAAATTTTAGAAAGAAATTGAATATTTCCATGAGATTTATTAAAATTTTTAGAAATAATTGAATTCTTTCGAGAAATTTTATTGAAATTTGTTTGAATACAATTAAATTCATGTGAAGAATTTTATTTTTTATAAATTGAATTCTTTGGAAGAACTTCATTATTTATGAAAATAATTAAATTTTATTAAAATTTTAGAAAACAATTTAATGTTTCCATGAGTTTTATTAAAATTTTTAGAAATAGTTGAATTCTCTGAAGGAATTTTATTAAAATTACACTGAAAATAATTGAATTGTTTTGAAGAATTTATTTGAAAATAATGGAATTTTTAAAATAATTTTAATTGAAAATGTTGAAAGTAATTGAAATTTACAAAGAATTTTATTCAAACTTTTGCGAATAATTGAATTTTGTAGAACTTTTTTTTTACAATTTTTAGAAATAATTGAATTCTTTCGTGAAATTTTATTAAAATTTTGTTAAAATTAATTGAATTCTTGCAAAGAACTTTTCTATTTGTAAGAATAATTGAAAACTTCTAAAAAATGTTATTATTTAAGAGAATAATTGATGTTTATATTTGAAAATATAAAATAATGTCAAATAAATTGACACAAAAATTTTTGTGTCAAAAATCTTTGAAATGTTATAAATATTTTTTTTGTCAGACAAAAATGTACCTGCTCCTGATAAATTTTTCGGTAAATCATGAGATGAATAGTGTAGGGCAGCAATGAGTCGTCGACACTCAAAAGGATCGAGATGTGAAGCTATGTATTCTAGTTCAGATAAATTAATATCTATAGTGCAGGAAATCAGAAATGGAAACGTAATTAAAAAATAATTAATTAAAATTAAATAATTCATTTTTTTCCTTTTTATTACTAATTTGTTTGTTTGTAGCTTTCATGTGACAGATAAGATATAAATATTTACCAAAAATTTATCTTCATTCATTTTTTTCTACTTATCTAATTAAAATTTTTTTAATTTTCTTTTTTTGTTTCTAAATATTTTTTAATTTTGTTGATAACTTCAGCTATTTTCTTACTTTTTTTCAAATAAATAAACGAAGTTCTCTAATTATATTTCTATTCTTTCTTTTAAATATTCTATTTGTATATTTATTTCTATATTGAAATTATATTCATAATTAAATTTTAATTTGAAATTGTATTTTAAATTGAATGTCTTACTTTTCAATTTTTAAATTAATTATTTTTTCCTTAGTTTTCATTTTTCATAAATAATGCTTGAGAAATAAAATTTAATTACCGTCATCACTTTTTGCGTCTTGTACTTTTCTTTCGTTTTTTCTTCTTTTTCTTACAACATTGACAACAACCTGAAGGAGGCGATTCTTCTTCTACTCTTCGAACAGAAGGATTACTATCCTGAGTTGCTGTATTTATTAAAACTTTCGAAGACTCGTCATTTCTCTCCTCTGCCTTTGAAGAAAACGACATTTTCTTTTTTCGCGGTGATTTTTTTCCTTTTTCAGCATCAATTGGAGAATATTTTCTGTAACATAAATAATTTTTCTTCTCTAAATAACAAAATTAATAAATGTTTTTCTCGAGTATAATTTCTTTTCTTTAAACATTTTTCTTTTTTTTACTCTTTAATTATATGAATTATTTAATTAATTTTTTTTGTTTTAATTAATACATTTAAAAATTGACTAAATAATTAAAAAAAAAATTGAACGAAACGATAAAAAAGTACAAAAAGAAATAAAGACAAATTATCTTAGAAAATTACCCGGACGATTTTTTTGGTTTCTTCTTTCTTTTACAGCATTTGAAACAATTGGCCAATTTTCTTCTTATAACAAGAGTACTACAGCAAACGCACAGGACAATAATACCAACAATTCCCAAAATTATATACGGATTTAATTTCAAACACGGATAATCTAGAAATGAAATATTTAAAATTATTAACAATTCCTTTTCTTATATATTAAAAAGAAGTAAAAAGAAGCAGTTACAGAAAAGATAACTATTTACCACTCGAAGTTGAATTGAGAGAACTAAAAATAGATCTTGACCGAAGTGAATTTGAAAATTTGCCTTCACTTTGTCCTTCCTCTCTTTCTTCTTTTTTTCCTTTTGTAAAACTTTCCTCCAAATTGCTTTTTTCTCCATCTTCCCTAGGAACGGGATAAAAGCTAAAATGAGATTTGTACTTGAAGTGATAATAAAAAAGCAGCCGGTGAAGTAAATAATCTAAAATTTAATTACTTAAGAAAACGAATAAAAAATTAAGATTGAAAACAATGACAGAATAATTTACGTCAAATAAATAATAATTTAATAAGACAAATAATTATATCTAAAAATTTGAAAATAATTTAATTCTTGCGAAGAATATTATAAGAATTGTTACAAGTCTTGATTAAATTCTTTGAAAGAATTTCTTTGAATTTTTTCAAATAATACAGTTTTTTTTTAATAATTCAACATTTTCAAGTTTTTAAATATAATCCATTTTGTTAATAAGTGTAATTAATAATCTTACTATTACATTTTATTAAAATTATTGAGATGAATTAAAATTTTTTTAAACAATTTTATTAGAGTTCTTGTAAATAATTGAATTCTATTGAAGAATTTCTTTAGGTTTTTTCTAAATAAAGTAGTTTTTTTACTAATTTTAATTTAGAATCTTGAAAATAATTGAATTGTTTTGAAAAATGTATTAAAATTTAAAAAAAAATGATTTCAATTCTCTCGAAAAATTGTATTAAATATTTTTAAAAACAATTGAATTTTTTCGTGAAATTTTATTAAAATTGTGTTGAAAATAATTGAATTCCTGCAAAGAATTTAACTATTTATACAAATAATTAAATTCTTCCGAAGAACGTTATTATTTAAGAAAATAATTGAATTCTTGTGAAGATTTTTATTAATTAAGAAAATTGAATGAATATTAACAATAAATAAAAAAATCAACGAAGGAACAATTTTTAAAATTAAATTAGAAATAAATTGATTAATTCTAAAAAAAATAAATAATTCAAAAATTCAACTGAAAGTAAATTCTAATATTGGATAAAAATAATTGAAAACAATAGAAAAAGAATTAAAAATAGTCAATAGAAAGAAGTGATACGATTCGATCGAAGAAATTAATTTAGAAATAAATTGATTAATACTAAAAAAATAATAGAAAGTTCGAAAGAAATTATAATAATAGATAAAGATAATAAAAACATAAAAAATAGTCAATAGAAAAAAGTGAATCGATTCGATCGAAAAAGATAAAAAAAAATAAAAAAAAAAATTGAAAAAAAAGAAAAAGAATAAAAAATGATTTGAAAAATAATAGAAAACATTCAATAGAAAAAAATTGATGAATAGTAAGAAAAATAAATCCATGTTGTGTGAGGCGTAGCGTCATAAAAATTGGTAACTGTTAGTCATGGAAAAAAAAGAAAAACAAAAATTGTCAATTTCACTTTTGTTCTGTTTTCTATTAATAAAGTGTGATTTGATTCCTGTTGAAGCATTCATCAGAAGTTTCAATCCAGATCCCAGGACCGATTGTAACTTTCAAATATCTTTTGCATTCGTTGATGAACCAGGGATCGATTCCAATCATGGAACACCGAAAAGAAGATTATTGATTTTCGATAAGGTTTTGTATACTACACACGGGTATATCGACACGAGAGTTTCTGATGGTCTCTTTCTTGTCACCGTTCAACCTATAGAAAGAGACCAACAGAAACGCAAGTTAGAATCGAATTGCTTCAAATCTTTTCCAATTATTTCAAATCTGATCCAAGGTTAACCATCAAGAATAAGATCTTCAAATTTCTCTTCCTCTTTTTTTATAATAACTTTTCATCCTTTTTAAATTAAGATACGATCATTTCTCATTTTTAATTTAAATTTAAAATTATCATTTCTTATTTTTAATTTAAATTCAAAATTATCATTTCTTATTTTTAATTTAAATTCAAAACAATTTTTTGAATTTAATTAACAAATTTTAATTTTAATTAAAATATGTAAACATTTCTAACTCGTGATAACTATAGCGCTAATTAAGTTAATGAATTGGATACAATTTTGATGTAATATAAATGTGAGGCGTTGTTTTTTTGTAAAATAAATTTTCATTTAAATGGATAATTGCCGAGCGTATAAATTTATTGTTTTATAGTGAGCAGCTTACCCCCAATCATCAATTGTCTCGTCCACAATCTCTCTGCGAAAACGAGTGAAACAATTGTGAATTAACGAGACCAAATTCGTTCTTCCTCCAATTTGACGAAATCGATTTTTGAGCATCGCATATGTATCCTTTTGTTTCCATTTCAAATGTAGAGTCCAATTGGCAAGCCTTTGAAAACATTCGATTGAATTGTTATAATTTGTCGCTTTCAAAGAATCTCCATCTGAAATAATATTTTTTTTAATAATAAATATTGAACCTAAACAATAACAATATTATAAATAATAAAATTTAGGTATATAATTATTAATTTTAAAAATAATATCTCAGATTCAAAAGAAAAAAAATAATAATAATTAAGTGAAATAAAAATTAATAACATGAAATTAAATTATAAAAAAGTTTGAAATATACGAAAATAGAAAAATATTAAAGCAGCATTTGTCTAATTAGTGTTTTTAATTTATAAATACTTTACCGGAAAAAGCCAATAATTTTTCACATTCTTCAGGCTTGAGGAAATCCGCTAAACATTGGATTTCTCGATTATAGACAGAAGAGACCTGAAATGGAAAAAAAATAAGAGTTAATTTAAAAAAGTGAAATTTTTCATTTTTAGCTAATTATTAAATTAAAAAACTCCAAAAAGTTTAGAATTTAAAAACTGCGTATAAATGAAAATAATTTATCAAATAATTCTGATTGCAATTAAATTGTAATTTACAACATAATTCATTGAACATAATTTAGTTTGAATTTAATCAAAAAATTTTCATAGTACCTGGTGAATTGAAACGAGAAATAAAAAGATAATTATAACAGTTGCTTTATTTTTCGAAACATTAAATAAATTTCTACATTTAAATTCGTGTTTCATAGCAAAAATAGTTTTAATTTTAAAAAAATCCCATAAGAATTGAATGAATTGAAAGAATCTATTATATATTTTTTAACAGGTTATGATTTTGTAAACAATAAATTTCCCAAGCAATTGTCACTATATTTACTGAGGTTATCTGTCAGATTGTTAATCGAAAATGAGGATAATTTCTTTTCGAAATTTATACACTTTATTATTTTTAAGATGAAATTTGTACACTATTTTTATACGTATATTTTGATTTTTATATTAACCAAAGTAAGTATTTTTTTTACTCTAAGAAAAACAAAAAGGAATGCAATATTGTCACTACTTTGCAAAATATTAAAATGAATATTTTTTTATTTCAGTCTAAATGGTTCGTTCTCGGGACATCTAATTTTGAATTTGGTGAATTGAAATATTTATCAGAAAAATTACAACCTATGGAGTGTTTTAAACTTCTTGATGTGATTTATGAAAAAATCGTCTCAGAAAAATCTATTGTACTTGAAAAACTTCAAGAGGAGATAAAAAGTATTTTGAAAAAATCATGGTCTACGGACAAAAGTTGCTTTTCTCATTTGCTAAAGTGGCAAAACAGTTTTCCTGGTGAGTAATAATTTATAATAATAAATAATAATAAATAATAATAAAATAATAATAGTAATAACAATAAATATTATTATATTTATTATATTATTTATATTATTGGTATTGTTGATATTATTCTGAAATTATTAAATAATAAATAATGTTAATAATAATCATTTAAGTAATTAATATCGGAAAAAAATATTTTACATTTTCTTGCAATAATTTGGGGAAAATTTATCCCAATGTTTTTTTTAAGAAGATGGAAATATTGAAGGACGTAAATTAATGGAAGATGTATTATTATCTTTGGGAAGATCTGATTTAGTGAAATATTTGAGAAAAACTCAAAGAGGACATTTTATCAAACATTTAAAGAGATTTGAAAAGTTAATGGAAAATAATGATTACAATGAAGCGAAACGATATGAAGCCGTGAATGACGAAGAAATGAATCAAAGTAAATATCAAAACGGAAACGGTCACGAGAAAAATAATCTATATCAGAAATTCGATTTAGATGGAATTGATAGCAACCATGCGCCTCCAACTCAAGCCGTTATGTAAGAAATTTTTTTTCAAAGTTGATTTCAAAAGTAAGATAATAATAATTAATAATTACAATAATTATCAATTATCAAATATTATAATATTTAAAGGAAAATTAAATTAGAATTTAAACTCTAACCATAAAATTTTTCTAAAGAATTCAATTATTTTCAAATTTTAATAAAATTTTAGAAAAAATTAAATTATTTTAACAAAAACTTTTATCAAATTCTGAGAAGATCTCAAGTATTTCCTAAAAATTTAAATAAATTTCAAACATTAAAATTTCAATTGCAATTATTAACAAAAACTACATTATTTTTAAAAAATGCAACAAAATTCTTTAAAATGATTTAATTGTTTTGAAAAATTTATTCCTAGGAATTTAATTATTTTCAATTAAACTTTAATTAAAATCCTAGAAAAAATTCAATTATTTCTAAAAATTTTATTAAATTCATTGAAACATTCAATTATTTTCTAAAAATTAAAGAAAATTCTCGGCTAAAATTGAATTATTTTCATAAATAATAAAATTCTTCTTAGGAATTCAATTAATTTTAAAACAATTTAATTAATTAATTTATTTAATTGAATTATTTTTAATACAATTAAATAAAAAAAATTTCCAAAAATTCCATTATTTTTAACAATGTGATAACATTCTTTGAAAGAATTCAATTATTTTCATTTTATTTTTAATTAAATTTCTCGAAAGAATTGAAATATTTTCATAAATAATAAAATTCTTCACAGGAATTCAATTATATTTAAGTATTTAAAAGAATTGTAAGATTATTAAATTTAACTATTTAATTATTTCTTAATAATTTTAAGAATATTAAAAAAAATGAAATTTTCAATTAAAATTATCAAAAAACTACATTATTTTCTAAAATTTTAATGGAATTCTCCGCTAAAATTTAATTATTTTCATAAATAATAAAATTCTTCACAGGGATTCAATTATTTTTAATACAATTTTAATATTATTTATTTTTTTTATTTTTTTTTTTTTTAATTTTTCCAAAAAATTCCATTACTTTTAAAAATGTTGTTAAAATTCTGTGAAAGAATTCATTTATTTTCATTGTAATTTTAATTAAATTTCTCGCAAGAAATAAAATATTTTCATTTTTTCAAAATTCTTAGCAGAAATTTATTTATCAATAAAATTTAATATTTCTCGAAACAATTTAATTATTTTTAAAAATTTTGTTATTAAATTCATCAAAAAAATTCAAATATTTTCAAAAGATTAATGTTAAAATAAAAGATTTAGAAAGAAATATTATTCAAAAAATTAGGAAAGAAACAAGCAAACAACAATTAACTTCAAACAACGAACAAATGACCAGAATATAACGATTATTAATATAGATAGAAAAAATAAAATATAATTTTGAAAAAATTGAAAAACTTTTCAATAAAAATTTTAAGCAAAAAAAAATTCTTATTTCTTTCTTTTTTTGGAAAATGAAATTTTAAGAGAACAATTCACGATAATGAAGAGAGCTTTCTCAATGATCGTTGACATTGGAAATATTCTTGAGAATAAAGAGATCTGATAATGTAAAATGTTATTGTCAATAATGCAATATTAAAATCTGATCGTACCCTTTAAAATCATAAACAATAAGGGGAGTAGAACGCAATGAGAAGTTGATAATGATAGTCAGGGCCAGAGACAATTACTGCCCCTTTGTTTCGTTTGTTCCTTGAAACTTGTTTGATAAGACGACGTCACGCTTTTGCCACAATTATTATATTTTGTCCTGATTTCCTCGACTGTTCTCCAATCCTAAAAATATCCTCTCAAACTAAATGCTCTTTGTTAAAAAGCATTTAAAAAAAATGAATCCATTAATCTGCAATTGAGTCGAACCTTGAATCAAATAAAAATAAAATCTTGTTATTAAAAAAAAATGGGTCATAAAATTCAAAAGAACTACGAGAAATTTTTTATATATTTTATAAAATTAGTAAAAGTTTTCATAAAATTTTCAAGTATGTACTTTGATAAAATATATTTTGAATTGAATTTTTTATTTTATTTTTCATCTCAACTTATTTATTTTTATTTCTTCTCGTTTTCTACTTTATTTTTATAACTCGATGTGTTTCTTTTCCTCCCTTTTTCCAGGAGCGGAGAGACTTTTAATGAAAATGATTACGAAAATAGAAATAAAGACGTAATTAGAGGGAAAACAAGAGAGAAGAACTTTGACGTTTACTGGATTATTCTTATCACTGTTATTGCTCTAGTAATCATGTCCATTTGTGGAAGTGGAATTTTTTTCATCTACAGAAAAAATTGCGATCGATTTGTCAAGGGTCGTTTATGGTAAAAATTCTTTTAAAAGAATTCTTTTCTTTTTCTTAGAGAAGAAAAATTCTTCCTTATGATTAAAAATAATTTTTCCAAGTTTTTCAATTTTTTTTTTGTTAAATAAATTTTTTTGCGAAACAATTATTTTTTTAAACATTTAAATTTTTTTGAGAGACAATTTTTGTTTTTCGGTTCAAGTCAAGAATGGGCCTTAAGTAAAGAAAAGCAGAATATTAACGTATGTTGCTGTGGTAAGCGAAGAGAAACAAGTAGAAGGGCTTATTCGAATGTAGACTGCATGGAAAGTGGATGGTCCAGAAAATGCTCAAAGTGCTGTTTGGATTCAAAGGGAGACGATAACAATGAAAAGTCACGTTTGATGAAAGAAACGGCGTGCGTGCAAAAATGCAAAAAATTGAGAAAGAAGAAAACACATTCAAAAACGAGAGAGAAATGCCAGAAGAAAGAGGCAAAGAAAGTAGCGAGAAACAAGTGTCTCGAGAAGGAAATGAAAATACGAAAGTGTCAGAGAAGTGCCATTAGTGAACCATCACGTACTGATTATAAGGAAATGCAAAATAAAATTGTCACCGTGCCAAAAAATAACTACAACCATTATCAGTGTAACTGCACCAGTGAAGGTTGAAAACATTTTTTTTTCAATATAAAGTATTTTATTTTACTCCTAAAATTCTAATTTATTTTTTAATCTTCTCTTCTTTTATTTTTCTCACACAAAAATTTATTATTTTTACCAAACAGAAATTCTAGTTTCTTTTCTCCTTTTCAAAAATTGTTGAATAGTGAAATTTTCCTTTTCTCATTTTATTTAGAAACAGAGTTTATTATAGCGACCAAAAAAGGGAAGAAAAAAAAGAAAAGTGGTTGGACATCGCCGCAATTGAAGGAAAAGAGAATAAAGGGATCGAAAAACGCAGAGAAATTGTTTCAATACGACTCAAGTAGTCCTTGCTCTAGAAAAACCTGCGAGTGGAGAAAAATAGCCAAGGGAAAGAGACACGGGAAAAATAGCGTGTAAATTTAATTACTACTTGGAAAATTGCACAATTTTGTTATCCTCCGGTAAACAGTTTTCTGTTTTTTCTATTTTACCTTATTTTAGAAATAATTTACAGTACGCCGAGAATTTACAATTTGCAATATAGAAAAAATCAAATGCGGGCTTTTAAATTCAGAATATAAAATTAGTGGAATAATTAAATATTTATTCAACAATTAGAGAAATAAATATTTAATTAATTCTCTAATTCAGTAAATTTTATATTTTATCCTTTAATCTTAGATCGAATTTAGTTCATATAATTAGTAAGATAATTTAATTGTTATCTGCAATTATTATAGAAACTAGCAATTTTTAATTAAATAAATAATTTTTAAAAATATTTTCAGATTCAAAATTAATAACTAATTAATTATTATTTATTTATTTTCTAAACTTTCAGTAAAATTTTTCGCAAGAATTCAATTATTTTTCGTAAATAGTAAAAATCTTCACAAAAATTCAATTATTTTCGAACACTGTACACAAATTTTTCAAAATAATTCAATTTTTTATCGATTATTTTAATAATATTTATTAATAAAATTATTAATTACAATTAACAAAATCAATTATATTCAAAAAGTTAATGAAATTCTTTGAAAGAATCCAATTATTTTCAATGCAATTAGAATAAAATTACTCAAAAAAATTCAATTATTTTCAAAACAATAAAATAAATGAATTCATTCTTTTGTCAATAACTTTGAAGAATTTAATATTAAATTATTAATTTCAATTATTAACAAAATCGATTATATTCATAAAATTAAAGAATTGCTTCGAAAGAATTCAATTCTTTTTAATTTTAATAAAATTTCTTGAGTGAATTTAATTATTTAAAGAAATTGTGATATTAAATTTAATCATTTTTTACAAATTTTAATTATACTCAAAAATCAAATCTTCAATTAAAACTTTTAAAAAACTACATTATTTAAAAAAAAATTTCAACGAAATACTTAAAAATTATTTAATTATTTCTAAAAATTGAAATAAATTTCTGTCTAAGAATTCAATTATTTCTGTAAATAATAAAATTCTTTGCTGGAATTTAATTATTAATCGTATTTTGTATTAATAAAAATTCGTTTTTCTACAATAATTTACAAGTAACAATTTTTACATTTTTTAATGTAAAATTAAACTTTTTAATTAAATTATATTTCTTAATTAAAAACAATTTTGCTTAATTAAACTAATTGAATAAAATTATGAATATGATAACAAAGATTTTGTTAATATTCAATTTTCAAAACATTGAATTAGAATTTCATTAATTTTAAAATTCAAAACATTCAAAAAGAAATTCTATTAAAAATTTATCGAAAAAAGTTAGGAAGCAAAAAATAATTCGATCTGAGATTAAAAAATTCTTGAATTAACTTTAAAAATTACAATTCGATTTCTAATAATATAAATCGAATTATGAATTTGAAAAAAAAATTTTTTTATTAAAATTATTCGACTTTTAGAAAAACTAGTAATTGGTAAATTCTCTCTGAAAATTCTGAGACTATAATCGTTGCACTCAAAAGGATGAGAATACTCCGACATCTAGATTAAGTCTCTCGGTCAAGGTTGAGGGTCAAAAGATTCGTCGCAAGAAAGGGTTGAGAAAGAACAGAAATGAAAAGACGAGTATTGATTAGACACTTTACAAGCCGTTCAACTGTTTCGAAGAAAATAAAAAAAAACAATAGAAAAAATAATTGAATCACTTGAAATTGCTCCTTACTTGGAAAATATGTTGGAAAAATGTCACAAATTTTTTCTCTATAAACAAACGAAAATAAAAGAAAAAAATTGATTATGAACAAATTTAGCTGATGATGAAATTTTCGTACTTGTATTTCTTCATAATTATCATCGAGGTAAACGATTAAATTCTATATTTATATTCTCTATTCTTTTTTTTTTGTCAAAAAAAATATGAAAATAAATAAAATTCATGAATTTCACCTGTGAAATTGGAAGGTGCCGGTATCTTTGGCAACATCTGTTTAGGGAAATTTGCGAAGAACCAGACACTTGGATAATGGTAAATTGAAAAACATTGTCAGTAAGCTTGATCCAATAGAATGTTTTTACCTTATTATCGTTTTGACAAAACGAGATGTTCATCGAGCATTACGACAACTTGAAAATGAGAATTTCCCGGAAAATTGGAATGAAATATCGAATTCACATTGTTTGGAGAGTCTCGTCAATTGGAATGAGAGAATACCAAAGTCGTTGTCTCGAGGCTTGTTAAAAAAGGCTCTCTATAAATTAGGAAAATCGGATCTCGTTGCATATTTCAATGAGGAATTGCGCTCTCCAAGTTCTGAAAGAAAAATAAAACACAATGAATTTCATCGGTAGGATACAACTTTTAATTTGAAAAATAAAATACTCGATTTATTTCTATTTTTATTCATATTTTTCTATTATCAAAAAAAAAATATATTTAAATAAAATAAAAAAATATTGCAATAAATAGTTTAATAAAAATTATTTTTTAATTATTTATTTAATTAATTATTTGAAATATTTATTTCATTTAATAAAAAAAATATTTAATCTTTTAAGAAATGGCAACTTCAGGAGGAATTCCCGTAAAAGAAAAGAAGCCGAAATCATCGAATACAATGACGGCAATTTAATTATTTACATGATAATTGGAAGTCTAATTATAATAACATCTTTTGGATGTTTGCTCCTCGTGATCTACATTCGAGCGATTCGTTCAAATTTCCATCCAACGAATTTAGAGTAGTTACTATTTTCCAAAACAATATCCAAAATCATTTATTTTAAATTTTTACTGAAATAAATATTTTTTTTATCAAATAATAAATTTCATTAAAATAAAAATTACAATTTCTATAAAAAAAAACAGGCGTGGAGGCGAAAACAGAAAAAATTGTCACAAAAAAGTTTATTATAATAAAATAAAATTAAATACTTCTGAATCATCTGGAATTGAAATGATTGAAAGTGACGAAAATTCCTTAAATCAATCGATGATTAATGAGAAAATTAAAGAAAAACAAAAAAAGAATAATAGCCACAAGAAATACTCGAAAAAAAGACTGAAGCTACTATTACCTTTCTTAAAGATAAAAAAATTATTCACTCTCAATAAGAATAAGGAAAATAGAAGAAACAAAAACAGTATTAAATTAAGGAAAATAAATAAAAATGTCTGTCCACCAAAAGAAAAAAGGAAGAAATCAAAAAAATCTAGAGAGAAAATAAATACACAAAATTCAGAAACAGAGAAAATTGTCACTCACAAATTAAATGAAATTTGCACTTGTGAAATGTGTCAACTTTTTAACATCGATGAAGATAAATTTACTGATATTCGGACTGTAGATTATATTCGGTCACGCAAAAGGCAGAGAAGAAAAATTAGAAAATAAGTATACAAAGAAAATATAGACAGGTAAAATTTTTACTTTTTTTAAATCGATAACATTTATAAAAAAAAAAAATAAATATTAAATTGTTTCAAGGAAATGTATAATAATCATAATTGGATCAACTGAAGAATATTTACTCCGAAATAATATTTTTTTAAAATAAATAAACAAATTCGTCAAACATTAAAATTTTGATTTAATTTTAAAATTGATTTAAAATTTTTATAAAATCTGATTTATTGTTTATAGAAAAAATAAAGCCACGAAAAATAAAGAACTTTTTGGCCAAATTGTATTTTTCTTTAAATTTTAATAAAAATATTTTATTATTATAGTATTTACTATATTATTATTCTTATTACTATTTTTATTATTAATATTATTAATATTATTATTATTATTATTATTATTATTATTATTACTATATTATTAAATTATTTATTATATTATTATTTATTTAAAAAATTTGGAAATTATTCGAATAGTAAAAAATAAGTAAATAAATAATAATAAATTAATTAACAGTATCGACAAACGAAAATTAAGAACAATACGACGAATAACGTTAATAAATGTATCTATTTAATAATTATCATACATACTTGTTAATATACAATCGTGTAAATATGATATCCGTGAGAATTTCTTTTTTTTAACTATTATTACAGATACGATGTATATAAGGTAAGCAATTAATTACTTTTTTTTAAGGAAAATACTTAAATAGTCGACTCTGCATGATAAAATATTCTTATCAATTTGTAAATTTGTAATAAAAAAATTACTTTAAAAATAACATTTTTCAAAAGAAAAATGCCTTCATTAATCATGCAACAAAATGTCAACAACTTTTTTACTATATGAAAGACATGAGTGAGCTAATGTGCCGAAGTATTCGAGTAAATACAAAATATTGTTAAATTAACTATAACTGAATCTATAATATCGAAATTTAATTATTTAAATACTTTTTAATTATTTTCAATTAAAAATACTTCGATAATTATTTTATGTACAAAATTTACGTAATTTTATATTATTATCTTTCTTGCATACTTCTTTTTTTTATTGCACACATTTTTTTTTCTTTTGGAAATTATTAAATAGGTATGTAAATAAAAATTATAATCACAAATAATTTTAGTGAAAAATAAAAATATTTCACTAAATGTATAAAATCTATAGGCAAAAATGCAAAATATAATTTTTTTTTTCATATAATCAAGTGAAACAAAAATTTTCTTTTGTATACGCATTGTTAAATTTCTTAAGAAATTCAGTCAAGTTTATAAAATAAACATTATTTTTAATTGACTTTTTTTATATAAATTATCGGACATATATAATATTTATAGTCTGTTAATAAATAAGTTACAGTCATTTAGAGAAATTATTATAATGTCCGATTTTTTAAGTAGTCAAATTTGAATACTTTTTTCCCCTGTACAGCAATTTTTTCTTAAAATTACTTTTTTCAATTTTTAAAAATGTAATTCTATTTTCTTATTTAAACGAAGAATGCCGGTTATGTTAATTGTATAACATAACTTACAAGATATTGTTATAAACTTTCTTTTAATTTGAAAAACTAAAAATTCTAATATCAATCGAGACAAAAACGGAAAATTGTCAATTTTTTTCCTTTTTCGTTTCTATCTATAATTTTCTTTTAATATCATGTATTAAAGGCAACGGTTTAGAATACAGTATACCTAGAAATATTGAAAAAATAAAGAAGGAACAATTTTATTCGAAAACTATGTTGAATTCTAAAATAAAAAAATTGTGCTTTACGACAGAAATGATAAGTTACGAAGAAATATATTTACAGAAAGGAAAATAAATTTTCTTTGATTATAAGGTTGCTAAAATTCTCGTGAAGCCAACGCAAGCAGCCACGAAAGTCTGCCCAATACCCCAGAATAAGGCATATAAAGATGGCATTTGATAGCTTGACGCTTGATAGACAAAAGCCACTGCAGCAGAACTGAGAACTCCTGATGTTAGCGGCAGTACAAAGCCCATTATTATAATCAACAGGGGGAAGAACCTTAATTAAGAGAAAATTATTTGTTTATATTCCTCTCTCTCTCTCAAGTCACACTATACGCAAGGATGGCTAATTTTTTTTTTATTTTGAATTTATACATTTATTCTAAAATTCTTACACTGAGAAAGAAAGTTATTTGAATTAAATAAGAAATTACTTGTCTATAATCAAATAAATATAAATAAATAAATACAGGGTCGCCACAAAACTTTAATTTTATTTTTCCATAATTTCAAGACAAAATTTTCGACTTTTTTTTGGCCCCAAAGAATATTCTGATTCACTCTAAAATTGATTAGATACTCAAAAACAATTTTCTACTACATTTATTTACGAATTTCTTTAATTGTAAAATTCGAAAACAACAATAACTTCTCATAAATATTTAATTATTATATTTCCGTAGGAATTAAAATTTTTCGAAACATTAAAACTCAAACCTTTTGAAATTCAATAATATAAGAACATTATAAAACATGAAGAAATCAATAACTCCGAGTCGGAGTGATCGATTTCTTCATGTTTTATAATAATTAATTACAGATGACCGAGTGATAAAATTATTATTTTATAAAAATATTGTTCATGATTTCAATTTAATTATTATCTTCTAGAATTTTTAACTAAAATTCTTTTTTAAATCAATTATTTTTGAAATTTTTTAAAAAAATTTCATTATAAGAAAATAATTAAATTAATACGAAGAAATTTATCAAATATTTGTAAATAATTGAATTCCTGTGAAATTTTTATTATTTATGAAAATATAATTAAACGTTTGCGTAGAATATTATCATAATTTTTGTTTAATAATTGAATTCTTCTGCAAAATTATATTAAAATACCTAGTAGATATTGAAAATCATTTAATTGCGAGAAATTTTTTGTAAATAATTGGAATTTTGCAAAGAATTTTATAAAAATTTTTGACATTAATTGAATTTTGGAGAAGAATTATATAATTTTATAATTTATAAAGAGAATTTAAATTTTGACGGGACTTTCTTTAAATTTTAGAATAAAATTCCATTTTTTCGAAGAATTTTATTACTTTTGAAAATAATAACCCAAAAAATTAATTTCACAGAATTGTTAGTTATAACTATGAAAAATTCAAATCTTCAAAGATTTTAATTTTGAAACCTTTTTAAAATTTAATTATTTCTAAAAATTTATGCTAAAATGCTTCTAATATTCAATTATTATCTAAAATTTGAACTGAAATTCCTTTTTTAATCAATTTTTATTCGAAAATTCTACGAGAATTCAATTATTTAAATACAAAAATAAATAATTTATTGAATAATTGAATGATTATTAAAATTGAATTCTCATAAAGAATTTTATCAAACAATTTCTAAATAATTGAATTATTTTGACGATTTTTAATAAAATTCGTAAGAATAATTTCATTTTTCGAGGAATTCTATTAAAAATAATTGTAATTTTGCGATGAGTTTTATTATTTATAAAAATAATTGAAACCCTGTAAACATTTTTATTATTTATGAAAATAATTGAATTATTGCGAAGAAATTTATTAGAAATTAGTAATTAATTGAATTCCTTCGAAGTTTTTATTATTTATGAAAATAATTAAATCTTTGCGCAGAATTTTATTAACATTTTTTAAATAATTGAATTCTTTTGGAAAATTTTAGGTATTATATAGATAAAAGCAGATATTGAAAATCATTGAATTGAGGAAAATTTTTAAAAATAATTGAAATTTTGCCAAGAATTTTATTAAAATTTTTGAAAATGATAAATTGAATTTAGAAGAAAATTTTATTATTTATAAAGATATTTGAAATTTTGATAAGAATTTAAAAAAATTTTTGAACATAATTTAATTTTTTGAGTAGAATTTTATTACTTTTGAAAATAATTGAATTTCTGCAATCATTTGTAACTACTTCAAAATTCAATTTCTTCCATTATTTTTCTATAAATCCATAATTTTTAATAATTAATTAAATATATATTTAAAAATTTAACTAATTTCAGAAGAATTTGAATTATTAAAATTGTTCTTTAAAATTTGTAATTAACTTCTTTTAAAATTGAAATTTTATAAAATTTCTAATTAAATTCTTTCAAAATTGAAATTTTACAAAATTTAAAAAAAAACAAAATTTTGAATTTTCTTATGAATTCGAAAAATTTAATTTTTTCCAGTTTTTTTTATTTAAATTCCTTAAGTTTTCCCTGAATTCTCTGACCTGTGGCAACCTTGAAGGTGAATTTCTAAAATTTCTTTTTCTAATGAAGGTCATTTTCTAAAATTTTTTTTCTAACAATTTTTAATTTCTACAAATAAATGTAATTTAATTAAATGCATGTTTATTTGATAATAGACAAATAATCGGCTATTAAAAGCAAATAAATTTTTTCCAGCTTAAAATTTTGAATGTAAATTTCGTATTGACCCTAATCTTTTTCTATAATTAATTAATAAACAAAAAAAAATTATACTAATTTATCTAAATAAAGAGAAAATAGTAGTTATTTATCTGAAAAATAAAGAAAAAGTATTTATTTATCTTTAAATAAATAACTACTGTACTTTTTATTTTACTATTTTTCTCTTTATACTTTCAGATTGTCCAATTAATTCCATTTTTCTTGATTCTCACAATATTTCAAAACCCATCCGTACGATGTGTACTTTTAATTTAAACAAACAAACACAAAAAATGTATTTTGTATACATACTTTCCATATTTGTGTTTTCTTAAAGTTGCAAAGCATATTGCACCAGCAATTGTGTGGACAAAAATTGAGGAGAAGAGTGCCGATAAAAATATTTGGTACCACATCTCTGTAATTCATTAGACTATTAAATGTGAATTCACAGAAATCAGAATTTTTTTTAAAATAAAATTAAATTAACGATTTTCGTTCCTTTACTATTAATTATAGTTAATCTGATATTTTAAATTATATTTTATTATTATACCTTTGAAATAAGTAATAGTAATAATAATAATAATAATAATAATAATAATAATAATAAAAAATAAAAAATAAAAAAAAACTTACCAGCAAAAGATGTTAACGGCGTGTCGAAAATATTTCCAGCATTATTAATTGATTTGCTGACTGGTTGAGATTGAAGTGCAATATTTTGTAAATTATCATCTGGCATTTCTAAGAATTGCAAGTGTCTATTAAAATACAATAAACACTAATTTATTTTTCAAGTTTCGTCAGATTCAAGTCTCATTGCGTTGTAATATTCCAAAGTGTCAGCTGAAAAAAAAATTTAGTTTTAACACCTGAATTTGTTAAATAACATTTATTAATTATAATAACTAGAATATTCTATAAAACTAGAATAATAATATTGGAATATTCCAGAAAACTAGAATAATTATTATAATATATAATAAAACCCTGAAACAATTTAATTAATAAAAATCATATCTTACTTTTTCAGAAAGTGAGGTTATGTTTACATGATTAATTTCTCAATTTTAAAATAGGAATTGCGGATTACATGAACGGTAAAAGAAAACAAAAATAAATACAAAAATAAAAACGGATTAGTTTGTTAGATTATTGTTGAAAAAGAAGACAAACCATTAATGAAATTCTCATTCTTCGACTGTCAATAATGCAAACAATGCAACGATTTTTGGAACTTGTTGAACACATTTCATATTGTATTTATTAATATTTACAAACTAGTGTTTAACGATACTGGAGACAGTGTTATCTATTTAATGAGACTTAACAAAAATTCATTTACTTTCGCCAAAATTTTTGGAATGCACACTTTGCACATTTTGTTGAATTTTTTTGACAGATGTCAGTATGTTTAGAGCAATGGTGGGGGTGAGTTGCGTCTGCCGTCTCGTCACTCTCTTTTTCTATGATATTAATGATATTAATTAATAAAATTACTCTATTTACTAGTGTATGAGAAATAACTCAAATTTTCAATATTATAAAAAATATTTTTAGTAAAGAAAAATTCACTGCTTGGAGAAAGGGCGAAAAGTGTACATTTTGAGGTTAGGTTTCTGTGTATACCGTGTATACGAGCCATACGAGCATAGAATTGATTCAACTGAACTAGATTATGTATTACATATAAAGATAAAGATTATAAATAATTAATAATAATTCCAATTTTAAATACTGAAAATATTGAAGACGAACAGACAATATGAATAGATTTGAATATGCGACTTTAACATTTTTACCAAATGAAGTTCATTTGAGAACTGACAGAAGAGTGAGTCTTTATGATGGCGAAACAAAGGTAAAGATCTTTAATTTTAATTTCAATTGACAAATTTATTAATAACTGAATTATTTATTTTCTTAACAGACACACTTTGTCACCAGTGATTTGGTCTTGACAAATTATAGAATATTTTGGGGCCAACCGAATGAAGTCGACAATCAAGGTTCTCGTTTGGCACTGTCATTAAAATACGTTATTTTCCTCGAGGAGGAAAATCCTGGTGCTTTTTCATTTAGTCGAAGTAAAAAGGTTGTCCTACATCTTACCGAACCCGGTCCAGGTGCGTCAGATTTTTAATGCATTGACAAAAACTACTATTAATTTAAATATGTAATTAACTAAAAAAAATTTTTACAGAGAAAACGAAAGGTCCCCTTGATGACAGTACAAAAAATTATATCAAATTATCATTCAAAGAAGGACTGGATCCAAATTTTATTGTTCAATTATCGGACGCTCTTACGCGACGAGCTTGGGAATTTATGCCTCCGATTACTGAAAGTGTAATTAATTTTCCAATTTTCATTAGAAAAATATTTCTAATTTATTTAATCTACTTAAATTATTTTAATTTCCGTTAATTAATTTTTTTCCAGCAACAAAGCGGTTCCAGTAGTATGAAACGTCTACCAGAAATAAAAACACGCACGGGAATCATTGGAATTGAGAGGAATCTTCAGGAGAGGCAAAAAGCCACCGATCAAAGTATTACCATGGCATTTCAAGATCTCAGGAAACTGATGGAAATGGCAAAGGACATGGTGTCAATATCGAAGACCATCTCAACAAAAATAAGGGTGATTGTCAAAGATCGCGCTTTAAATAATTGTCGTTCATAATCGGAAAAAATTACAGGAACGCCAAGGCGATATCACGGAAGATGAAACAGTCAGATTTAAGTCGTACCTGATGAGCTTAGGTATTGATGATCCGGTCACTAGAGATGCCTACAGGAGTAGCAATGAGTATTTTCGACAACTCGCCCGACAATTGGCGGATATTCTAGAAGAACCTATTAAAGTTTGTTTCGAAAATTTTCCACCATTTTTATGATTTTAATTTTTCGTTTCTAGAAAATGGAAAAATTTTACAGGAAGTAGGGGGTATGATGACATTAACGGATGTTTATTGTCGAGTTAATCGAGCTCGAGGTTTGGAACTTTTATCCCCTGAGGATTTATTGAACGCTAGTCGACAACTTGGTCCCTTGGATTTGCCACTTGTACTGAGAGTTTTTGACAGTGGTGTCATGGTCCTTCAAATTCGATCTCTCGATGATGAGGCAGTCGTTGAATCTATTGCCGAATTGGTAAATATTCTCTTTCACTGTATTTTTTTTTTTAAAGAAATTTAATTAATTTAAAAAATTTAATTAACTTTTTTTGGTATACAGTAAAATTTATTATCTTTTAATCTACAGAAATTGACATTTTTCTCCTATAATTTACTGAATTTTTTTTGTCTTTACAGTTGAAAGACAGAGGATCAATTTCGGCTGAGGAATTAGCTCAGTCAGAAGGTATATCCGTGACATTGGCACGAGAAAGACTATTAGTTACAGAGAAAAATGGAAGAGCTTGCAGAGATGATTCTATAGAGGCACTGAGATTTTATCCTAATCTTTTTCTAGAACAGGATGTGTGATATTTGAATTTTTTTCGCCGACTTTAATGAGCATTTTTTCAGGAATATTGTCTGATATTTTTAATATACTGACAAAATACTAAAATTTTTGTGCCTTTTTGCATTGTGCTTGTTCTTCATTTTAAGACAAACAATTGTACACTACACGGAAAATACATTTATTACAAAAACAATTAGTTCTTGTTACTTGAAATCTAAAGGAAAAGAAAGAAAATAAAAAAAAACAAGGAAGCAATAAATAAAGAAATTAATCAAATTTTAATTTAAATTATGAAACAACTAGGAAAACTAAACGCGCGCGTAAAAAAAAATTTCAAATTTCGATCATTTTTGTAAAATACATATTTAAATGCTTATTGTTCTTTACTTGCTTCAAATTTCGAAATACTTTCAATGTAAAACCATTGGAAAATTTTTTTATGGAAATTTAAACTGCAAGTCTTCCAAAATTCAATTATTTTTTAGAATTTTCGAATAATATTATTCAAAACTTTCAATTTTGAAGAAAGCTAACAAATTAATAATTTTTTATATTGAAATATTATGATACTTTCACATGAATTAGAATTTCAAAGATTGAAATTTAAAAACTTTTTGAAATTTAATTATTTCTAAAGAATCCTACTTTAACGAATTATTTTCTAGAGTTTTAACTAAAATTCTTTTTTAAATCAATTCTTATCAAAATTCAATTATTTAAATACAAAAATAAATAATTCATAGAATAATTAATTATTTTTAAAAATTGCAACTGTACCTCTTTATTGAGTTTTTGAAATTGGAGTTCAATTTTCTTACTCCAATTTTTTTATTATTTACAAAATTAACTGTCAAACTTTTGATATAACAATTCGAACTATAAAACAAAAAATTGAAATCAAAAAACACCTGAGGACAGATTATGTCGATTATTATACCTAATAATAATAATAATATGATAATACAATAATTTTTTTGCAAATATATTTTTCAAATTAGGACTTATTTTGATTTGTGTAGTTTTAAGTTCACGTGTCCTCAATCCTTATTTTGTTCTGTCACTGATATAACCTTAAAGTCAAACATATTTATGTTTGTAATTAATATATAGTGGAATATAAAATTTATTCATTCTAAAATATATATTTTCGCAAACAATGAGAGTTCTTGAACTTTATAGCGGAATCGGAGGAATGCACTATGCTTTCAATGGTACGTTAATTTTTTACTATTTACAAAACTCATCAGTAACATTTTAATTTCAAAGATATTTAAAGTTTTCTTAAATAAGTAATAAGTTTGCAAGTCGATTCTCCGAAATATTTAATCACTTAAATTGTTTAATGACTTTAAAGCTTTAAAATAATAAAAAGAGGAATTTTAGACAAAAAACAGTTTTAACCTCAAAAAATCTAATTTTGAAGAAAGTATTTTAATAATTAAAATTAATTACCTACTGTTTAATAATTTAATTAATTACTATTTAATAATGTAATACTAATTATGATAATTTTTCTCCAGAAAGCAACGTGGAGGGAGATATAATTGTATCAATTGATGTAAATACAGTCGCAAATGAAGTCTACAGGCACAATTTTCAAAAGACAAAAAATTTCAGCCGAAACATTCAATCACTAAGTATCGATGAAATAAGAAAATTTAATATTGATACAATTTTAATGAGTCCGCCTTGTCAACCATTCACGAGGGTAGGACTAAAGAAAGACAGTTTAGACAATAGATCCGAATCACTGCTACACATTCTAAAATTAATACCTCAAATTGAAACGCTAAAATACATAATTGTCGAGAATGTCAAAGGCTTCGAAGCCTCGAATACAAGAAATGAACTCGTCAAGTGCCTTGAAACGAAATTTAATTACAAAGAATTATTACTAAGTCCCTGTCAATTCGGCGTTCCTAATTCACGACAAAGATATTATCTACTCGCAAAAAGAAAGGATCTCAATTTCTGTTTTAAAAATCAATCCCTAATTAATTCTCTTCCAGACGAGTTTCACAAAATTCTACCAACAAGTCGTCATCGATTATTAGCACTAAAAGACGGATGTTTAACAGAAACAAATTGTTACAAATTACGACACATCCTGGATGAAGTGGTTGACGAAAAATATTTAATTCCAGAGAAAACACTTCAAAAATACGCCTCAATTTTTGACATAAGAAATAATAATTCACAGGGATCTTGTTGTTTCACAAAAGCATATGGACATTACGTGGAGGGAACTGGTTCCGTATTTTGTCCACATTCTGAGGAAATAATAAAGGAGAATTTCCTGAAACTGAAGAATTGCAAAGAAGTGCCTTTAGAGGAATTGCAACCTTTGATTGATTTAAAATTACGTTACTTTACGCCTAAGGAAGTGTCGAGACTCATGTGCTTTCCAGAGGATTTTTCCTTTCCAAATAGTATCACCAATAAACAAAGATATAGACTTTTGGGCAATTCGATTAATGTTCATGTCGTTAGTCAATTGATATTTCTTTTAAACCACGAGGGCACAATCAGCTGACACAGTTTTGGAATTTATTTTTATATTCTCTTAATTTCCTTCCTATCGATTGTAATACCTCATTGCGATTAAAATATTCAGGGTTGTCACAAAAATTTAATTTTGTTTTTCCCTGACTTTTCCCTGATTTCCAGACAAAATTTTGCCCTTTTCCCTGAACCTTAAGAATATTATGATTCACTCTAAAAATTATTAGATACTCAAAAAAATGTTCTATTACATTTAATTACAAATTTTCTTAATTGCAAAATTATTCAAAAACACCAATAACTTCATTTTCAAATAAATATTTAATCATTATTATTTTTCCATGGAAACAAAGAATTTTCAAAATTTCTAAATCAAACCTTTTAAAATTCAATTACTTATAAGAATATTTTATAAAACATGAAGATAAAAAAACTAAAATTCTTCTTTAAATCAATTATATTAAATAATTTTTGATAAAGTTTCTTTTGAAAACTTTCAAATTCATTTGTTTACAATCCAATTTTACCCAAAATTTCAATTATTTGGAAATTCTTCAATTAAACAAACATTAGAAAATAAAATCCTTTCAATAATTTAAAAAAAAATTCAATTAAACTTTTTTTAAAAAAATTAGTTCCATAGAATTTTAAAATAAAAGTATTAAAGATTCAAATTTCCAAACATTTTATTTTTAAGCTTTTTCGAAATTCAATTATTTCTATAAATCCATGCTATATTTTTAATATTCAATTATTATCTAAAATTTTAAATGAAATTCATTTTTAAATCAATTTTAATTAGAAAATTCTAAGAAAATTCAATTATTTAAATACAAATATAGATAATTTATTGAATAATTGAATGTTTCTTAAAATTGAATTCTCATAAAGAATTTTATCAACAAATTTTTTAATAATTGAATTCTTTCGACGAATTTTAATAACTTTTTTCATAATAATTACATTTTTCGAGGAATTCGATTAAAATTTGTATTAAAAATAATTGAAATTCTGCAATGAGTTTTATTATTATTTATGGAAATAATTGAATTATTGCGAAGAATTTTATAAAAAAGTTTCGAACAATTGATTTTTTTTCGAAAAAATGTATGAACCTCTATTTATAATAATTGAATTCCTGTGAAATTTTCATTATTTTAGAAAAATAATTGAATATTCGTGTAGAACTTTGTCAAAATTATTTTTAAATAATTCAATTCTTTTGGGAAATTTTATTAAAATAATAGATATACAAAATATTGAATTAAGAAAAATAATTGAAATTTAGAAATGAATTTTATTAAAATTTTTGAAAATAATTGAATTTTTTATTGATTTTGAAAATAATTGAATTCTGTGAATATTCTTGAATATAATTGAATTTCTGCGAAGAATTTTGCTACAATTTATAAAGATAATAGAAATATCGAGAATTTTTTTTTAATTTTTGAAAATAATTGAATTTCTGGAAAGAATTTTAATATTTATTATTAAGATATTTGAATTCTTTCGAAGAATTGCGTTAAAATTTTTAAAATTGAAACTAATTTTACAAGAATTGAAATTAAAATTTTTCTCAAAAATATTTCATTAAATAATTTGTAAGTAATAACTTTATGGCAGTTCTTCAATAGAATTAAATTATTTAAAATAAATTATTGTCAAAAATAGAAGAAATTTAAGGTTTTTTCAGAAATTCAGAATTTTTTTATAAATTCTAAACATCTAATTTTTTTCATTACTCTTAATAAAAATCTCCAAATTCCCTGACCTGTGGCAACCTTGTATTACCTCTGAAATTATTCTATTTCCTCTACTCAATTTTTTTAATCCTGAAATTCATTTGCCAAAAATTCCCAACTTATCATTCAAAGAACCAACACAATTGAAACTTTTGTTATTAATTAGTTAGATATTTAATTAAAATTATCATTAATTAAAAACTGAAATATTTGTCAATCAAGTCAATCCAAGTGCGAATTCGACCAATGAAAAAATACCATTGAATTTGAAATATCAGTTTAGATTTAATTTCACTTAATCGTAAAGTCACATTGTAAATTACATACATCTTAATTGAAAATTTAAAATCCTTATGTAAGAAAGTAACAATATATCCATTAGTTCGGTATAATTATAAGTTTTCTATAATTTTCTACCCTTAGCTTAATACTTTAAATAAAAAGAATAAATTTATATTGTTTCCAATTCAGGTGGAATGTGAATTTTCTCATGTAATGCGAATTTTTTTAATGCTAAATATTTTGAATGCCATGATTCAACTTCCTCTCGCATTCTATTGTTATCGTCCTGCATTGCTTCCATGTCACGATATTCCTGAGTTTTTTCCGTTTCCAATTCGTCCTTTTGTTCGATTCTCTTAATACGACAACTCGCTGCATAACCTCGATTTTTTAATGTACGTCGACGCTGTTTCATACGAACAATTTCCTCACGAGACAAACCTCGAAGTTTCAGTTGACGATTTAAATCACGAACTGATATTGAAACAAGTTCATCGTCACTAATATCCAAGCAAGGACCAGGTGAAAGAGGATCCTGACGGATAAATAAACAATCTTAGAAATATAATAAAAGATATTTATAATAATTCATCAAAAAGTTGTCGAAAAGAAACAAAATTCTACAGAAAATTTCTCATATCCAAAGAAAAATTTATGATGAAGATATTAAAAAAAATTCCATAAAGGTGTCGAAAAGAAACAAATTCTACAGAAAATTTCTCATATCCAAAGAAAAATCTACGATGAAGAAATTAAAAAAAATTCCATAATATAGAAAATTTTGACATTTATGAATTTTGAGGTTATGAAATCAAATTTCAAAGAAAGGGGATTATTCGGAATATTTTCGACTTGAGAAAGAAGAAAAAATAACAACAAAAATTCAGGTGTGTTTTTAATGAGAATGCTTTGTTGTATGTTTTTGGAATTGTGTAGTAGCGAGAAATATCGAAATCAAAACAAAATGAGAACATGTGTGGACATATGATTTAAAGTACTCACCATATTCATAGATCTCTTAATGCTCATAATTAAAAGAAAGCACAAAAGTTCAAGTTCCTACGTGGGAAAAGAACTGGATGCACAATTTTTCTCTGGATCTTTCGCTTTCTAAATAAATTTGCTTAGTCATTCTATAGTGATTCTTTGCGAGCGTTCCTGCTGTCATATCATAATAAATGATCGTAAACTACTGGCTTTTCCAAAAACATCAGTTCTTTAACTCTTTGTTGCTTTCGAGATACTTTAAAATTGCAATTCTAACATTATAATGAAAAAAATTCATATAAATTTACACTTTTTTCCTATTTGTTTACATTTTGATTAAAAGTTTCAATTTCCGTTTAAAAACCACCGGAAATGACGAAATAGTTCGAAATCTAATCCGCAAGGAGGCGCTGCTTACTTCCGGAAATTGATGACAGCCCAAGAATCTTGTGACAGCCATAACAAACAAACGTCAAACACTTGCTGTCTTTAGTTTGCGAACGTAAAATTACAAAAATTGTAAATTATATACTACACACAAATTACTGTTTTCATCCAGTAATTTTAATTCAATGAAAAATGATTATTTTTAGAGAAAAAGTTTAGTCAATTAATTAACTCTACCTGCGGAAATACTTCATAATCTAAACAAAGAGGTTAGGTGTTCGTGTGTTTTGTTTTTTTAACTTTTTTAACTTTTGTTGCTGTTTGCTTTTTTGTTTCCTAACTATGTTAATAATTTTCCTTTTTAAATGTTTTCAATTTTAAGATTTATGTATACTGAAAATAATTGAATTCTTGAAAAGTATCTATCAAAAAATTTGAAAATTATTGAATTCGTTTCAAGAATTTTATCAACATTTTTTTCAATAATTGAATTCTTTCGAGAAAATGTATTGAAAATAATTTAATTCTTGGCAAGATTTTTATTTAAATTCTTTAAAATAATTGAATTGTTTTGAAGAATTTATTTCAATTTTCTTAAAAATAATGGAGTTTTTTTTTAATACCTAATTTTTACTGACAAGTTTGAAAGTAATTGAATTTTATGAAGATTTTCTTTTAAGTTTTTGAAATAATCGTGTTTATTATTAATTGTAATTAATAAGTTTTCTATCCAATTATATTAAAATTATTCATAGAAAATTAAATACTTTAAAACAATTTTATTAGTTTTTGTAAATAATTACATTTTAATTCTTGCCAAGAATTTTCTTACTTATGAAAATAATTTAATTCTTGCCAAGAATTTTACAATTTATAAAAATAATTGAATAGTTTCGACGAGTTTTATCAGAAATGTTGAAAATAATTGAATTTTTATTCAAACTCTTAAAAATAATTGAATTTAAATCATTTAAAAAAAAATTCTATTCTTTCGAAGAATTTTATTAAAATTGTATTGAAAATAATTGAATTTCTCCGAAACATTTTATTATTTATAAAAATTAATGAATTTCTTTAAAGAAATTAATTATTTATGAAATTGTTTTAATTCTTGCGAAGAATTTTCATATTTATAAAAATATTTGAATTTTTACAGAGGATTTTACAATTCATTAAAATAATTGAATTGATTTAATCTGAATTTTTGAAAATAATTGAATTTTTTAAAGGAATTTTATTAAAAATTTTGAAAATAATAATTTTTTTAAAAAGAATTTCATTAAAATTGTCGAAAATAATTGAATTTATAATAAAATTCTTGAAAATAATCGAATTTAATTAATATTTTTAAAAATAATTGTATTCTTTCGAGAAATTTTAAATTATGAGAACTTTTCATTATTTTCTTTACAGATTAATTCACCATGAAAATGCTATTAATATTCATTCCAAATCGATTGTGTGAAGAGAAAGCGGGACAAATATTCGGGCAAATTGTCTACGACGAAATAAACCAAGTAAAAAAATTCTACATAATTGGAAGACAAAGCAGCTTACCGATAGTAAAAAATAAGACTGAAATATTAGGCTACTATTCTGGAACTTGTACGAAAAATGAAAGAATTGACAAAAAATGTCCAAATTGGATCAATTTGTACACTAAATCGGAAAATGATAATCACCTCAATTATGATTATTGTCTAAAGAATATTTTGGTGAATGGTAAAACTATCTCTCCAACAATGTGTCACACTATGATAATTATTTACGATCAATTATCACTTATTCAATCGGAACTTTTTATTAGTTCAACGAAAAAGGATCACTTTGTGGAATTACAACAATTATTGAAGAAAAAAGCGAACCAAAATGAAATTAGAAGAAAAACTCTCAACGATTGTACACGGGAATTTATCCTGACAAATTGTGCATTCCTTTTATTTTATCCAATTTTATTTCTATCAAGTGTGAGTAAATTTCTATTGCCAATTTCCAAGTACTCAACACTCGGTTTACACTGGAATGCTTGGTTGGAAAATTTTAATTGGATGTTGAATTCGATTATTCACGAGAAGAGAATTTCGATAAAAACGGGAAATTATATTTTAGCAATGATTGTTGATATGATTCTGGGAATTCTAGTATTGAAATTTATTTTATTCGCTATTGAGGACGATACTCCGTCTTCAATATTGTTAACTAATGCAGACGTAAGTATTATTTTTAATAAAAATAAAAATAGAAAACCTAAAATTCTTTTTGTTTAGATTCATTCTTTTAAGAAATACTACACTTGATTGACAAATATTTCATCTTTAGAAAAATGTGTAGAATTTTTTTTTTGCAAATAATAATATTAATTGAATTTAAAATATTTTTTCAGAAAGTTGTCGTGACGTTAAAAGAATTGGTTAACTGGTTAATGGGATCGCCGGCTGGATTGAAATTAAATTCTTGCTTCAATGAAATGCTGGGCAAATTTTTTTTGTACCATATTCATTTGTGGTGGACTTTTCTAACAATTATTGAACCCGTGATGAATTTTGCCTTTGAAGTTGCGTTGCTATTCGGTCGCTTAGGTCTTACTTTTCAAATTGCAATAATTGGCGATCTTTTAGCACTTCTCAGCTTTCATTCCTATTGTATTTACGTTTATGCAGCAAGGTAAATTCCATTTAGTTTTAAATTAAATTTAAAGTAATTTAAAGTAAAATATCTATAATAATAATTGTTGTATTCTGGTAATCTGATTGCAGTTTGAAGTTAGTTGTTGTTTGCTTTTTTGTTTCGTAACTTTTTTAATAATTTTTCTTTTTAAATATTTTCAATTTTAAAATTAATGTATTGAAAATCATCGAATTGTTGTAAAGAATTTTATTATATAAAAAAATTTATATAAAAAATTTGATAATAATAGAATTCCTTCGAAGAATTTTATTACACATTTAGAAAAATAATTGAATTCTCGTGAAGAATTTTGTTAAAACTTTTGAAAATTCTAATTAAATTCTTTTTTAATTAAAATGTTTGAAAATAATTTAATTTTATGAACAATTTCTTTCAAGTTTTTAAAATAATCGAGTTTATAAATCATTAAAATAAAACACATGATTATTCAATTTTATCTAAATTTTTTTAGAAAATAATTGAATTTCTGCAAAGATTTTACTGTTTAAAAAAATAATTGAATTGTTTCGAAGGATTAATTAAAATTTTAGAAAATAATTGTATTCGTTCGTGAAATTTCATTGGAACTTTGTTTAAAAATAATTGAATTTTTGCAACAAATTTTACTATTTATAAAAATAATTGAATTATTTCCAAGAATCTTGTAAAGAGTTTTATTAAAATTTTTGAAATTAATAAACAAGAATAATTAATTAGTAAATTAGTTAATAATTGAATTTTTTTAATAAATTGAATATAAATAAATTGAATATCACGTTTCGAGCGTAATATTTGCTAGTTAAAAATATAAAGATGATAATAAAATATTAAAAATCGATTTTTATTTAGTTGTTTTTCTAAATTGTATTTTAAAAAAATTGCAGATTGTTTAATATTCAACTGAGGGGTCTCACAGCATTATTCCGGCTTTTCTTGGGAAAGAAAAAAAATCCACTGAGAGAAAGAGTGGATTCTTGTTTATATCAACCGGATCAATTATTTTTGGGAACTCTACTATTCACGATTCTTTTATTTCTCATTCCAACCACTTGGGTTTATTATTCTGTCTTCACAACGGTTTGTATTAAAAATGAAATTAATATAAAAAAATCCGATTTTATAGATTTTGAATAATAATAATAAATTTCAATATTAAATGGCGATATTAATACAAAAAAATTATTTTGGTAATTTCAGCTCAGACTAATAATGGTAGGACTTGCAGGCACTTTGACAAGACTGAAATTTTATCTGCAAGTTATACCAATCTTCACTTTTGTTAATTGGATTTTTCGCGCCGATAGCGTTCGCAGTGAGTTTAAATTATTTCGTACACTATTTCAGAATTAAGTAACGAAAAAAGTAATTTAAAAAGTAACGAAAAACATAAAATTCTTTAAAATAAATTAACTTTAAAGAATTTGATGTTTTCTTTCGTTTAGATAATTAATAATTACAGGAGAAGAAAGCTAATAAAAAAATTTAATTACAGATTGTATAAATATTAAAGTGCACAAGAGACTAGAGAATGAACCAATAACTTTAATTTCAAAAATGGTTGTCTCATCGTGGAGTATAACGTGGAAACAATGCATTCCCGATACAATTAAATTTTACCCCTCAATCGAATGGAATAGAATTGTAAATAATGTAATATGCGGGGAGTTGATCTATCCTTTGTAATACTAAAAAATTCAAAATATATAATTATATATTTATAAAATGAATAAAGAAAAATGTAAATATTTAATTAATGATTTTTTTTTCATTCTGCCTTTTCTTATTTCTGTTCTTCATTATAAAAAAAAATTATAAAGGATTTTTTTTTTAATTTAGAAGATAATATTTTTATTAAAAAGATGTCAGAACTTTTGTGATTTTTATAATTTTAAATCTGACATATGTAATTCTTTAGCAAAATATTTTATTAAAAATTTTGAAAACAATTAAATTCTCTCGAGGAATTGAATTGAAATTCTATTCAAATTAATTGAATTTTTATATACAAATTTTATCAAAATTTTTGGTAACAATTGGATTATTTCGAAGAATTGTATTAAAAAATGTTTAAAATAATTGAATTTTTGCTAAAAATTTTATTACAAGTTTTAAAAATAATTGAATTTTTTGGAGAAATTTTATATAAAAAATGCATTGAAAACAATTTGAATTTCTGCGAAGAATTTTACTGTTTATTAAAATAATTGAATTCTTGAGAAGACTTTCATTAAAATTTTTGATAGTAATTTAATTACTTAGAAGAAATTTATGAAAATTTTCGAAATTAACTGAATTTTTTCGAGAAATTTCATTAAAATTTTTAAAAATAATTTAACTGTTGGCAAATAATTTTATTGTTTATGAATATAATTGAATTCTCAAGATAAATTTTACTGAAATTGTATAGAAAAATAATTAAACTCCTGTGAAAAATTTTATTGTTTAAGAAAATAATTGAATTGGGAATTTTTTTAAAAATTTTAAAATCAATTGAATTCTTTAAAAGATTTTTATTATTATTAAACTTTTTGAAAGTAAATATTAATAAAGAAACAGTAAATAATTTGAATTTTTTTAAATTTTAAATCTAAAAGTATATTTAAAAATGGCATTGATATTTATTTATTTAATATTTTCTTTTCAATTAAAAAATTTAAAATAATTAACCAATAAAAATATCGATTTTCAGAAATCAATTACTCTACTTGTTCAAATAAAACCAGTTTTCGTTTTTATCTACAGCATCCCTTATCTACCGAATCGTTTAACTTCTTATCGTGAAAGGGAAAATTAGAATAAACACAAAATTCAATCGACTGTGAAAGATAAAATATAATAAAAAAAATTAATATTGCAAACGGATTTTTCTGAATATTTACAATTAGAACACAGATAATGCATTTTACGCTGCGACTTTGATGAAATTAAAGTTTTCATTATTATTCTTTTTTTTCACTTTTTGTATTTAACTTTCGGTCTGTTCAAAGCATAAGTATCTGATGTTGACTTCAAAGGATAATTTATTGGATTTTGCAAAGGGGACATTTACAACGAACTGACATGCGCCTACTTTTGTTTAATAGATAATTTTATTTTTCAGTCGAGCGATCAAACTGTTTTGTATTTTTATCATTCCATATAAAAATGAAATTTAAATAAAATAATAATAATAATAATTTTAATAATATTCTAACCGATTTCGAATAACGAATTAAATTCATTTCAATTTTTCTTTGGGGGGGGGGGATTTATTATTAATTGTTAAGTGAAATCGTTTTTCATAATTAAGTGAAATAATTATTTTTAGATAAATAATTTTCTCTAGTAGTGAAAAATTTCTTTTTCTTCTTAAGATGAAATTGAAATGATAATAATTTTAATTATTTCGAAAAAATAAATTAAATTCATTTTCATTTTTCTCGGAGGAAGTTTATTAAATTATTGACTGTAGTTAAATAATCATTTTTTGTGTAGCGAAAAATTAATGTTTCTTTTTCGTATTATTTTTATGTAAGTCTTCTTTTGATTTTCGAAAAAACAAAAAAAATTCTTACCGATTTCGCCTTTTCATTGGCATTCCATAGACATTAGGGAGCGATTCTTTTCCCCAGAGCAATTTTCCTGAGGGTAAGGCCATTCATTACAGGGGTCCAGGCACTTTTCGTTAACGAATTTAACTTCCCTGGACATCGATGTCCAGAATTTTTCCTCTTCCTAATTCCTCTAACGTTCCACTAATCACACTTGAAAACCAAAACACGATTTCTCTCCAACATCTTTTGGAGCAAAAATTTTCCTGCGAAAAGAAAGAAAATGTTAACAACATAAAAAAGAAAAAAATTATCCCCTTGAAAGTAAATTTAATAAAAAATTTAACTAATTTCAGAAGAATTTAAGTTTAAAATTTTTTTTTTAAATCTAAGTTTTTTTTATATTTTTAATTAAATTCATTTAAAATTGAAATTTTTACAAAATTTTAAATCAAAATCTTTTGAAGTTCATCTACTTATGAAAATTGTAAACGCAATTCTTTCAATATTGAATTAATTTTGAAATATTTAAGTGAAATTAGATTTCAAGAATAAAAACAATTACTATTTAGAAAACAACAATTTTCCAGGATTTCAATCAAAATTCCAGGTTGCGTAACAACCCTGGATTCATTAAAACCAGATATGAAATAAAAATACGAATAACAATATACGAAAAAAATGATTTGTATGGAGAAAAAGAATTTCTCGAGAAAATGCGAAATGAAGTGAAGCTCCAGAAATAAGAAAAATATACATATATATATGTACAAAAGACAGTTAAAGTGTCTCCTCTGTTTTCAAGGATACTTTCTACTCCTTATACGGTGGGGGGTTTAAAGGGAAGAAAACGAAAAAAGGATGACGATGAAGCCGCGAAGGCAATAGACTTCGCTTTTTATTTGAGGCAAATACACACAATGCTGCAAGGCACACATTGAAGAGACTTTGAAATTGTTTTGTTAGACGGCATCATGCACTTTGTGTGGCCCAGGGAGAGGGAGGAAAAGTTGAGTTACTTGTGAAGCGCCGGCGAAGGGTTGGGAGCCGGAGGACGTCCGGGGGGTGTCGCGAGATCAAAGAGATGCGAGGATCAAAGAAACGGGTATTTGCTACAAGTAGGAACAAGGTGCTGCCTTTCGTACCAATGGTACTTGGACAATAATCATCGGTTTTCACAACCTTTTTTTCCCCTCACTCTTTATTTCCTTACAAGGTGCGTAGGGCACATCTTCTATTAAACGTATATATCCTCTTTTTTTTTATCGTCACTCACTAATTATCTCCTTAATTAAATCCTTCTAATTCGATATTTCGATTTTTCGCCTTTAATTAAATTTATCTTTTAATTAAACAATCAAAATACTTCTAATTATTCAGTTATTCACTTTTATCATACTATTAATCACTTATCATTATATTATAGAAAAAACGTTAGAAACTATTCCGATGATTCCGATTTCCGAATTCCGACAGTTGATAAATCACGTGATTAACCTTTAATTTCAAAACTAATTTTGGCGGGAATTTGAAAAATGAATTAGCACCTAATTATCATTTTTACTTAATATTGTAATATTTTCAGTAAATTTGGGTTCTTAGGAAAGAAATAAATTAGAAGAGGTATATCAGGTGAGTTTTTCGTGAAAAATTTGAAAAGAAAGTCAACGTAGGGAAAATTAGAAGAAAATTAAAAAGTGCAGGGCTCTGAAAATGTGGAGTTCGAGGGTGTTGATGTCACAGGGCATGCGGCTCGTTGATTGGCCCCGCGCTTTGAACGAAAGTTGTTTAAATGAGCGCCAGAAGGCGCAAACGTCGTGACTATTTTTTCTCTGTGTTGTATATGTGTGCGAGGCTAGGAGTTGATGGCGACGGGGACGGTGTTGTGTGTTTAATGAATAAAAACCGTACATGAATTGCGTCAAAATTCACGGAGTTTCTAAATCGAAGTTTATCACAAATTTACCATTTGGAGAACTGTTTTTTCCAACTGATTGTGAAGTGTTTGTGTTTTTAGTTTAGTTAAACGGCTTGGATTTAAAGGGACACAAGGAGAGAAGTGGGCATCGCGATGTGTAAACGGCGTGGCCTCGACGAGAGTTGACACCTTCGGGCATGGGCCTCTATTTTGAGCTTTTGCTCCATGAAAAAGGCGGACCATCGTAATAAAAAAACGCCTCATCAACAAGAGAGAAGAAGCCGGTGCCTTGAGAGGTCATCGTGCAGCAGGTAAAATCATAACATTCTTTTTATTTTTAATGTTTTCTCTTTGAAAAAAAAAAATGTGATAATGTTTCTTTTTTTATTGTGGAGAAATTTTTCAGGACAATCAAGAAGGGTGTGTAGCCTTCTCTTCGTTTTTCCGACCAAAAAGGGTCGTTTACACAGGGGGAGAAATGTTTCCATCCTCCCTTTTCCCCCCCTCTCCAGCCAGACTTGTGGCTTTCCGCTTGAAGACATTTCACGCGTCTCTGTATATAGAGATCTTCTTTTTCCTCCCTCGTGTCTTTTTTCCTGGGCTTCTTCCTTGCCAATGTCGAAGAACTTATAATTCTCTTTCTTGATTTGTACTCTTGATGGTTTTGGTTTCAAGCAAACTATTGCAGTCATTTTTGTTGTACATGCCTGTGTCTCTGTCAGTAAAACTCATTCCTTCCTCTACGTTCCTCATCGAGCTAGTTTTTCTACCTTTCGTGGCTTCTTTTCAATCGACGGCTCTCTGAATCACATAGAAACTTGTTCACGTTTAAACTGAATTTATTCCCTTGCAACTAGACTTTAAAGTCGAAAATTCTTGCGAGGATTTTATTTTTTTCCTAATTTTTCCCTCCATTATTTTCATTCACATAAATGAAGTGCAGAATATTTTCTAAACGATAAGGTAAATTACTCAGTTAATTACTTAATAACAATACATAATTTAACAAAATTAATTTCTAAAATTTTTTTAATCAATTTTACTTGTATACAGAATAAAAATTAAATTAAATTCTCATTCTATTCTACACTCTGGGAATTTAATTAATTTTTTTTCTTCTCAATGTCTATATTAATTGAATACGTGATTTATTTTGCACTTAAATGACTAAAATATTCATTACTCTGCTTTCAGAAATGTTGTGAAACAATACTTCATTATTTTCATTGGAATTTTCGACAAAATTGATACTATTGTTGTAGCGAATTGTTACATAATTAGACTTTTGGAAACACATATATAATGGAGAATTGTTTAATTATACGTTCAAGGGAAATTTTCATTGAATCAATAGTGTCAGTCACTCCTCTAAATTTGGACGTTTGTAGAAAAACTGATGTCCATTATTTGCAAACAACACATGAACGCTTCTTTGAAAAAGAAATTAGTATTGATTCATCGTCCACTGTACTCGATATATTACACAGAATGTGGGAGCCTTAATTATTTATAATATTCTTCAGAGAAACATATCAATGGTATACCAAACGATGATAGGTGTATATAAGCAAATTTCAGTTTAATTGTCTTCAAATATTCATCGTTATGGACAAACGTGTAATTCAAAGAAGGTAAATTATCACTGTAGATTTTAATTATTTAATCTTTTTTTTAAATACTGTTTTTTTAAAGAAAATTTTTTGTTTTTCTAAACAAAATCAATCTTGGGATATAGATATAATCAATTTTCATTTTAGAAAATTTTGCCAAAAGACTGAATATCCATTCAAGAAAATTTTTTAAATCAAATTTTTATTAATTCACTTGAATTATAATTATTCAATCAATATAATTGTTCAATTATACTACAATTATTCAATTATATTGTAATTGTTCAATTACATTATAATTATTCAACTATATTGTAATTGTTCAATTATATTATAATTATTCAATTATATTATAATTATTCAATTATATTGTTTATGCCATGCACATTATTTACATTACTAAATATTCATTTACGAGAATTTTCACCTAAAAAAATTTATAATCAACCGAATTTACATTTATTAGTTTTTTCTATTTAGTAGAACTTCTAGTTGTTTAAATTTTTAATAATAGAATTTTTATTTCAGCGAAAGATAATAATTCCTACAATTCAAAGTTAAGAAAAATTAAAATTCATTGAAATAACAATTATGTAATTAAAAATTCTCAAAATACTAAAAGTTCTACTATATGGAAATTCTTCTAAAAAGTTATGATTCTAAAGTTCTGATTTGTGAAATGAAATTTATATATTTCTTCTTCAAATTACATTTTTATTACAATTATTTTGCGTAACTATAGAAAAAAAGTTAATTGGTTTCTAAATGTAAAATTTAATTTATTAATTTTTACATTTACAATCAGTAATTTTTTACTGAAATATTTTTAATAATAAATTATTTTCTTCAATAGGAAAATACTTTTAATCAAAAATATTTCGTTCATTTAAACATTCAAAACTTGTGAATCATTAAACTTCGCTTGAAGAACAAACTGAAATAAAATTAATAAATTGTAATTTTTTTTTAAGTTGCTATAAAAACAGGCTTCGGATCTTATGACTTTTTTCGACTCATTTTAAAAAATTTCGACTTTTCTTCCAAATATTGCAACAAAATACCACATTTTTTAATATAAAATTAAACTTATTTCGATTTTTACAATGAGAAAAATAACTATAGACAAATCCTTCAAAAATTATTTTTGAATAATTTTTCTAATTAAATTTTCGAAATATACAATTAAAAAGATTTTTAATATTTGGAATTTTGTAAAATTTAATTGAAAATAATTGATTTCCTTCAAGTATCTTATTACAATTTTCGAAAATCAACTTTTGAAAAATTTTAATTTCAAATTTTTGAATTAATGGAATTTTTAAAAATTTTAATGGAAAATCTTTAAGTAGGTATGTAAATTTAAAAAAGAAAATTAGCTTATAAAAATTATATTAAAATATATTTTTGAAAAAAGTAAATCTTAAAATTTCTTCATTCTAATTTTCTAAAATTCAATTAAATAGTTTCAATATTTTCAATTACACATTTCCAAAAATTCAAATACAAACAAAAAATAATAATTTTAAAATTTTCTAGAATTATTTTTAACATTTTGAAGAAAATAATAATGTTCAAATTATTTAATTAAAATTCTTCAAAAAATTAATTAGTTTTTTTTTTCAATTATACAAAATTTTTTTTAAGAAATTCAATTAATTTCGAAAAATTTCATTACGTAATATTTTTAAAAAACTAATTCTTAGAATTTTATCATAATTCTTTTTATATTCTTCAAAAATTTAATTATTTTTAAAAGAATTTACTAAATTTCAATTATTTTTAATAAATTTTACCAAATTCCAATTGTTTGCAAATTTTTCAATTGTATATAATTAAAAAAACTGTTACCTTTGAAAAATGATTTAAAAATATTTTTAGAAAATTAATTTTAATAATTTCTTTATTATAATTTTTTGAAAATAACTTTAAAAAAACAGACAGTTACAGTTACAATTATTATAAAAATTTGAATTTTTGTATTTAAATATTTAAATTCTCGAAGAACTTTAAAAGATTATTAAAAATAATTGAATTATTTAGAGATGAATTTTAATTAAAAATAATTTATTAATTGTAAAAAATAATTGAATTTTGGAGTTTTAGTTTTTGGAAATTATTAAATTTCAGAAGGTTTTAAATTGAAATTTTTTAATTTTGTTTCCCGTGGAAAAACGAGAAGTATTTAAATATTTATTTTACAAAGTATGAAAGTCTGGAATAATTGAATTTAGAAATCAGTGAAAGGTCAAGAAAATGCAAAATAAAATTTTTGTGTCAACAGTGAATTAAATAAACGATTTTTTCGACTTTTTTTCTATTTTTAATTGACTGCTGCGACTTTTTTTTGCTTAAAGTCGATCCGAGGCCTGAAAAGTAATAAACAAAAAATTAAAAAAAGTTAATAATGCTAATATTTTTAAATATACAATTAATTTTTTTTTTTGGAAATTGAATAGATATTAAGCAAAATTCGAACAGTGATATATACGCTTGCGTTTCACTTGTTTTGTAATTTATAAAAACACGTTTACAAAAAAAAGTCTCGCTCACGGCTTGATCAAAGGATATACGCATTTTCAATAACATTTCTGCTCTAACGCGTAATCTCACATTGATATAAATATAGTTAATGGGTGCATAAGCATGGATTTCAATTAGCGTCCCCGTCGTCAGCTTTCTTTAGAGCATAAAAAATTAAAAGGTTATGGATACGCAGACTTGTTCATATATACTCTTCATATAATACTTTTTACTCCACCCTCATATATAGTTATAAGTGTAACCCCAATAACGTCACGTTTCGCTTAGTTTCAAGTTTAAATTCCCTGACATTACAGGGCAAGTAAAAAAAAAAACTTGTGGATAAATCAACGACAAATTTTAATCATTAAAATATTTTTCTTTCTTTTACATATACCTATA